GTTAGTGTTCAAACATTACTCTTATCAGAACTGGCTCAAGGAGGAAATAACATACACAATTAGGTATGGAAATCTATTTTACTCTACAAAAAAGGGGATAAGAGAAGGGGCTGGGGGTGGATCTGGTAGAAAGGAGAGCAGACTGGGAGAGGAAGTAGTGAGAAGCAAAACATTTTTTAGGATGAACAGGGTGAACAGAGTGGGGAAATAGGATAGAGGGAAATACACAGTGATCATAACTGTGAAAAAATTTTTACTGCAAGGTTCTCTGATAAAGGCCTCATTTCTCAAATATATAGAGAACGGAGTCAAATTTCTAAAAATAAGAGCCACTCCCCAATTGAAAAATGGTGAAAGACTACGAAGAGGCAATTTTCACATGAAGTAATCAAAGCTATCTAGAGTCATATGAAAAAATGCTCTAAGTCACTACTGATTAGAGAAGTGCAAATTAAAATAACTCTGAGGTACCACCTCACACCAATAAGATGGGCTAATATGAGAGAAAAGGAAAATGGCAAATGTTGGAGGGGACGTGGAAAAGGTGAGATACTAATGCTCTGGTGGTAGAGTTGTGATTCAAACATTCTGCAGTGCAGTATGGAATTATGCCAAAAGGGCTATAAAACTATGCATACCTTTTGACGCAGCAATACCACTATTAGTTCTGCATCCCAAAAAGATTTTTTAAAAAAGGAAAAAAGACCTATATGTATGAAAATACTTATAGCAACTCTTTTTGTGGTGGCAAAGAATAGAAATTGAAGGGACGCCCACCAGCTATGGAATTGCTGAACAAGTTATGGTATATGATTGTGATTGAGTGCTATTGTGCTATAAGAAATGATGAGTAGGATGCTCTCAGAAAAACCTGGTAAGACTTACATGAACTGATGCGAAGTAAAAAACCAGGAAAACATTGTACACAGTAACAACAATATTATACAATGAATGACTTAGCTATTCTTAGCAATACAATGATCCAATACAATTCCGAAGGACTTATAATGAAAAATGCTATGCATCTCCAGAGAAAAAACTGATGGAATCTGAATGCAGATCGATGTATATCTTTTTTTTTTACTTTCTTCATTTTTCTTTTTTCTTTTTGGTCTGTGTTTTCCTTTACAACGCAACAAATATGGAAATGTTTTGCATGACTGAACATGTATAACCTATATAAAATTTTGTGCCTTCTCAATGAGGGGGGAGGGGAAAGATGGAGGGATAGAATCTGGAACTCAAAATTCTAAAAAACAAAGTTAAAAATTGTTTTTACATGTAATTGGGGAAAGTAAATTAAATGAAGATGGAAAAAAAACCCACAAAAGTTCTCAATTTGTTTTCACATGAAATGCGAACAGGTGGGCGGAGCCAAGATGGCAAAGTAAAAGCAGTGACTTGCTTGAGCTCTCCCCCAAACCCCTCCAAATACCTGTAAAAAAAAGGCTCTAAACAAATTCTAGAGCAGCAGAACCCACAAAAAGACAGAGCGAAACAAATTCCCAAGCCAACGTGGACATTTGATTAGAAAAGTCTATCATGCCAGGCTGGGAGAGAAACGCAGTTCAGGAGGGGCACATGGGCAAAACAGGCCTCAGAGGACTGAATCACGGACAGCTGTGGCAATTTCCAGACTTCTCAACCCCAAATGCCAAAGACAACTTAGAAGGTCAGTAGGAAAAGCCTGTAACCCTGGTAAGAGAGAAGCTCGCCCCACCCTAGTCCCAGTGCAGCCCCAGACTGGCAACTGCTTCCAAAGCTTCTGGCCCTCAGACTGAGGGGGAATTGAGTGGCTGATCTGAAGGGGATTGCAAGGATCTTTTTGCTGTTGCTGAGGCAGGATTCTCTTGCTTTGCCTGTGCTTGGATCTGGGTCATAGTTCTGGGTGGTGGTCCTGGGACAAGAAAGAGTGCTGGTGTTGGGGAGCTTGTGCCAGTTCCAAGGTAGAAAACAATGTTTGTGGTCACTCACAGACTAGAGCACAGGCCAGGAAAGGAGTAAATACCTCTCCCTTGATCATACCACCCTGCAAGAATGGAAAACTTACAAGGTCCCTGGAAGTATCTCTGAAAACAGCTACACAAAACCACTGAAGCTTGGGACAGTACATTCTCCACACTGGAAGCAGACCCCTACCTTAACAAAGAGTTTAAAACTCAAATAATTGGCTGGGATCATAAGCAAACTGGGGCAAAAAAAAGTCAGACCACAGAATCTTTCTTTGGTGACAAAGAAGATCAAAACATACAACCAGAAGACAACAAAGTCAAAGATCCTACATCCAAAGCCTCCGAGAAAAATACGAATTGGTCTCAGTTCATGGAAGAGCTCAAAAAGGATTTTGTGAAGCAAGTAAGAGAAGTAGAGGAAAAACTGGGAAGAGAAATGAGAGTGATGCAAGCAAATCATGAAAAACTAGTCAACAGCTTGCTAAAGGAGACCCCAAAAAATACTGAAGAAAATAACACCTTAAAAAATAGCCTAACCCAAATGGCAAAAGAGGTCCAAAAAGCCAATGAGGAGAAGAATGCCTTAAAAAGCAGAACTGGCCAAATAAACGAAATGCTAACAACATACCCCTTTTCCCTGTTATATTTGTAAAACTGATTTTTTCCAACTCAAATTCTGACCTTCGGCATTTATCCATATTAAATTCCACCCTATTAGATTTAGCCCTTTTGCTCCAGCCAACTGAAATCTTTAGATCCTCATTCTGCTATCCATTGTCTTAGAAATTTCTCACAGCCTTCTGGCCAGAAAATTTGATAAGCATACCATCTGACCTGTTCATTTGAGATTTACAGAAATAGTTCACTATGTCATTCTCATTTTCCTGTGGTATAAGCTATTTCCTCCAATTGTCCTAGTGAAGGCTACATAAATTGAAGTTTATGCTCTACCTCACTCATTGGCTTTCATTGTTTTTAGTTTTAATCATGATCTACCCTATTCCCCACAATATTATTTGCCCCAGGAATAATAAATGCTGTGATACTTTTTTGCCCAGAGCATGGACATGGTGAGAAGACCATAGATCTTAAGATGAAAGGGACCTGAGAGGCCACTAGGTTCAACCTCCTTGCTTTACTGATGAGGAAACTGAGGCCTAAGGATATTAAGTGACCTGCCCAAGTTCCCACAGGTAGTATCAGAGGTGGAGTAATAACCCAAGCCCTCCAACTCCAGCATCAGTACTCTTTCCTCTGTCCGTTTGCTATCATGCTGCCTCCTAGGTAAAAGATGTCAAGAATAAAATCCAAATAGACTACTAATGAAGGTAAAGGGAGGGTATGATTTCAAGCTACCAAAGAAATGCAATAGGAACATGCAGAGATCAAATCACACAAGGGGATCTTAGAGGCTCAAGCTGAAGAGATCTTAAGAGTACAAAGTGACCTGTCACATCCTAGCCGTCTCTTTAGACTGTACTATTTACCTCAAGAGGTTGTTTTTAGAAAAGTGCCTTACAAACCTGATAATGCTATAATAAATGTTATTTAACAATAATGTTAACGATATTATAAATGATAATACTAGCACTGTTAAATATAGCTGAGACAAAAACAAAGTAAGGATGGGAAAGGGTTATTTACAAGTTTTTTGAAAGGAGGGCCACTACCTCATCTTCACATCTCTCACAGTGCCTAGCACAGGGTATTTTAGGAATGCGATAAGTGAGAAAGTACGTAAAGAAATTTGGTACTGTCAATGAGTCCATCTACTGAAGATACTGGAGGTGCAAGAGACACATATGATTCACAAAACCTCATAGTTGAAAGGGACCTGAAAGATCATCCAATCAATCAACAAGCATTTACTAAGCGTTTACTATGTGCCAGACACTGTGCTAGGTACAGGGGGTACAAAGACAAAAATGAAACAGTCCTTGCCCTCAAGGAGTTTATATCCTATCAGGGGAGATGGCATGTATATATGTAAGCATGCACAAAATATTTACCAAAAAAAACCAAGGTCAATTTTGGGAGGGGAGGCACTAACAGCTAGGGGAGGGAGGGTGTAGAATCAGCAAAGATTTCGTGTGGAATATGAGCTTGATGGAGCTCTAAAGAGGCAGAGGTGTGAAGAGTGGACCTTCCAAGGATGTCAGGTGGCCAATGGAAATGCACAGAGACAAGAAATGGAATATCACTTGAGAAGGATGGCATTTACACCGGTTTGACTGGACTGCGGATTAAGGGAATGAAAGCAATGTACAATCAGACTGGCAAAGCAGCTTGAAGTCAAACTGGGGAGGACTTGAAATGTCAAACAGAAATGCTTAAATTTGATCCTAGAGATAGGAAGCCATTGAATTTTATTGATTAGGGAAGTAACACAATCAGACTTGCGCTTTAGAAGAATCACTTTAATTCACATAGGTGAATTAGAAAGGGCAGAAACTTCAGCAAACTAACCAATTATGAGGCTCCTACAATAACCCAGGAGAGATATAATGGGAATTTAGAATAGAGTGGGGATCATGTGAGTAGAAAGTAAAAAGAAGAGGTCAGATGGGAGAAATATTGTGGTGGTAGAAATTATAAAGATTTGGCAACTGAGTGGTCATGTGGAATGTGGAATGGGGTTGAAGGAAGAGTCACAAAAGCCAGGAACCAGGTGACTGACAGGATATTAGAAACCTCAACAGAAATCTGAAAGTTCAGAAAAAAGGGGCAAATTTGGAAGGGAAAGATGAGTTATTTAGGAAACACTGGCACACCTTAATAAAAACACAGAAAGAGGGAGCAGCTAGATGGCACAGTGGACAGAACACTGGCCCTGGATTCAGGAAGACCTGAGTTCAAATCTGACCTCAATACTCGACACTTACTAGCTGTGTGACCCTAGGCAAGTCACTTCACCCACTGCATCACCAAAAAACAAAACAAAAAAACCAAACGAACAAAAAAAAAGAAATATTTTCTAGAGTCAAAATGACCCCTTAGCCAAACGGGGAACACTGATTTAACAAAGTGGAGGGTCAAACATGACCTTACCTGTTCCTCCTCAGTTGTCTCTACAAATGCATGACAGAGTTTTTGCAGAACATCAACAGCTGAACTAATCACCTCTGGAGGCCACTGAAACTCTCTCAGCTTACATTTGATTACATCTGAAAAGGAGATCAAACCACTTGAAATTTCAGTTTGGAAAAATACAACTAAATTGAGAAGCCAAATGTTTTTTCTCAACAAGACTCCAGACACACTTACCAGTCAGCTCTTCCTGGGTACTCCTAGGCAGGTGCTTTGAAATATGCCCAATCACACACAGAATATGTCCTGTAGTGACAGAACTGGTATTCTGTTGCCTAGAGGATGGTAAAAGACAAAACAGCTACATGAAACTAGACAAGGACACTGTTAAAAAGAACAGTATCATTCCCTCTGTTATTACTGATGCTAGAAGTAAGTCATATTGTAGGAAATTCTAAAGGGATTAATGTACTAGAAAATGGTGTTTTAAAGCATTAATTTTCACAACAGAATTTAAATAAAGTGTTTTGAATCTTAGTATCTATGAAACAGCAAACTCCCTGTATTGGAGGAAGACATTGGCTTGGATTTGTTTTCAGCACCAATCAATAACTAGATTAAGAGCATACACACCCACTGATTCTCTCCCAGGATTCAATTATTTTGGTGTAATCCAGTTTAGGTGATGAGCAAGCAACCTTTGAAAGCAACATCCAGGCTGGTGCTGAGTGTTCCGTTTCACAATGGGATATCACATTATTTATAAAAGTAGATGAGAATTTCTCTCTCTTAGACCACATGTGAAAAGCCTTATTTAAATAACGGCTGGTAAAAAGAAGAGAAAGTATTATTAAATTTATAAATACCACACATATGCTCAGACTAGGAGTTAAAGGATATTCCAGCTGGATTAGGTTTTGGTAGCATACAAAATAACTGTACAGAAAGAGATAATGGCTAATGGCTTATAAAAGATCAAAAGAGATCCCTTCTAATTTTATTACACAAAATAAATTGGATTTCTCACCATATACCCATTCCAGTTTATTTACCCACCCACAATCTAGCCAGGAAGCTTTTGTCTCTAAAGCAAAACAAAAGAAAACAAAACTATCACTGCCCCCCACCTCCCTCCCTTCCTCCCTCCCTCCCTCCCTCTCCCTCTCCCTCTCTCTCCCTCTCTCTCTCTCTCTCTCTCTCTCTCTCTCTCTCTCTCTCTCTCTCTCTCTCTCTCTCTCTCGACACTTGTCTGGTCTGAGGCCGGATTTGAACTCTGGTCCTCCTGACTTCAGGGCTGGTGCTCTATCCACTGTGCTACCTAGCTGCTCCCAAAACACCTCTCTCTTAGAAAGATGCAGGACAGGTCACATAAGCCCAGGTCCAGCAGGCTTATGATCACAGAATAGAATCCCCCCCTTTCAAAAAATGATAATACGTAAAAAATGCTACTGATTTATTCAGTATCAAAGTACTGATGTTATGTCTGTCATTTTTAAACTACCTCTTCTTTTGCTCCTTCCCACAGCATTTTGGGGGGAAAAAAGCAAAACGAGGTCAAATTAATCACAGGACAAATACCATATTGTACATTTCAGTGAAGAGGAATGTATAGTGCTAACTATAAATAAGCAAGTAGTTGTTTTCTCATCTGATTACTTGCTATTTGGGGCTGCTGGTAACATAAGAAACATACAATTAATGTGGCTTTTCTCATTTTAAAAATTGAAATTATTATAGTATGCAGAAAAGAGGCAACTATAATAAGATAAGCAATACACAACATAATGAATATAAAATACGTACACACATTTATAGTAGTAACATTATAAAAATAAGCTATTCGTTAAAATTATCCATAGATATCTCATGAAATTCAGAAAACTCACAATACTCTCTTGCCTGTCACTATAATAATAACATTATATAATTATCAAATCAAAGATTAAAGATGCACTAAAAAATATTATCCTCCCTTCCATCCCCTTTGATGGTAGAAACTGAACTACAAAAGCTACTAACTTGTCCAAAATTAATATTTAAAACTTTGGAATTCCAATCCTGTTAACAGATACTGTATTTCCTTATGAAAAAGAAAGCTATTAAAAACTGCCTGAAATTATGCCATAATACATTCTTTCTCTATTGACCACTTCCTTATCTTTCACAATTTGACATCTACTGCTGTTCTCCCTTAGGTCCCAGCAAATAAGTTACCTAATCCATTTTGACTTGACTCCATTCTGGAAGCCATCTTTAGCCAATAAATGTCGTCCTCATCAACATCCTAAAATCTTTCTGTGCATTAATGTTATCTCAGCATGCTCAAAGTCTAACTCTGAATCACTTACAACTTGGCTTTCTAAATTTCTACTACATAACAGCAGAGGTTTACTGCAGAAAGTAATGGAACAATATTGATCTGGACAAATTCATGTTAAATTCAACCAAGTCCTCCAAGCTATAATTGGGCTAGACCACTCCCCACAACTTTTCAAACATTCCCATCCTCCTCAAGTCTTCCAGCCCTTTAATGGTTGCCCATTGCTTTAAAAAGGGGTCCTTATGCCTCCTGTGTAGTGGATGATCTTGTCCCCTACTTTACTAAAAGAATCAAGACCAGATCAGATTTTCTCACCTTATTCTTCATAACTTTAAAAAATCTCTGTTTCTTTATCCATCCTCTCTCTGCTTTTAAGGTATCCTTCCACCTTCTTGGGGTTAAGCCCTCCAACCTGTGATGCCATTGAACAACACCTAACATTTCCCCTAGAATCTCCTCCTATCAATTTTTGCTATTTCTACTATCTTCAGCTTCTCCCTTTCTACTAGCTCCTCTCAGTTTTCCTTTCAATACAAACAAGATATCCCTTCCATGAAAATAAATCTTGACTTGATTCTATTACCTTTCCATTTACCATCTGATTTCTCATCTTCCTTCCTTTGCCAAATCCCTGGAATGTGTAACCTAAGCTTACTTCCTTTGCTTCTCTTTTAAATAACTTCTATTTTATTTTACTTTTTATTAATTAATTTATTTTTAGTTTTCAACAATCACTTCCATAAGGTTTTGAGTTTTAAATTTTCTCTCCCTCCATTCCCACCTCCTTCCCCAAAATGGCACACAATCTGATAAATACACAATCCTATTAAACATAATTTCACATTACTCATGTTGTAAAGAAGCATTAGAACCAACAGGAGGAACCATAAGAAAGAAGAAACAAAACAAAATAGAATAAAAAAAAAGAGCAAATAGTATGTTTCAATCTGCATTCAAATTCCATAGCTCTTTCTCTGAATGTGGATAGCATTTTCCATCATAAGACTTTTGGAAATGTCTTAGATCTTTGCATTGCTGAGAAGAGCTAAGTCTATCACACAACATGGCTATTACTATGTACAATGTTCTCCTGGTTCTGCTCACTTCACTCAGCATCAGTCCATACAAGTCTTTCCAGGTTTTTCTGAAGCTCATTTGCTCATCATTTCTCATAGCACAATAGTATTCCATTACATTTTATTTTACTTTTTAAAATTTAACTAGATGGCCTTACACACATAACACTTACTAGCTGTGTGACTGTGGGCAAGTCATTTAAGCCCAACTGCCTCGCCAAAAAAAAAAAATTAACTAGAATGTATTTTCTTTCCCTCCCACTCTTTGCTCAGTTCTTTACTTTTTCACTATCTACCCTCACCTTAATCTCCTGTAATCTGGATTCCTCCTTACCACCCTACTGAAAACATATTACAAAAGGCTCTCCTTGCCACCAAATTTAATTACTTTTACATATCCATCATCCTTGAGTTCTCTGAAGCATCTCACACTATTTCATCATTCATATACACACACCCCTCTTTTTTTATTGAAGCTTATCCCCCTTCGCTTTTGTAACAAAACATTTCTAAAGGTTTTCTCCCTGATGAGTCTTTTTGTCTGTTTTGCTGGTCCCTCTTCCTTCTCTTGTGCCCCAAATGAAGCTTCTAATTCAATCAAACTGTATACTTGTTTTCTCTACCTCTTTGGAGATCATAAACATGATAAGCTTCCTTGACTGCCTCCATCCCAGTACTCAAGCTGTTTCCCAAGCCTAGAATGCCTCGTCTATCCTATCTCTACCTAATACAATCCTATTTCCCCATTCTTCTAAGTCAATATCAAATGTTACCTCTTTTATGAAGTCACACTGATCACCCCAGCTGAAAGTGATATAGCATTCTCCTAAAATCCTACAGCATGTATTATATTTCTTTGTGTTCCCATAGCATCTTTTTTTTTTAAAGGCAATTGAGGGGGCAGCTAGGTAGCGCAGTGGATAGAGCTCCAGCCTTGAAGTCAGGAGGACCTGAGTTCAAATCCGGTCTCAGACACACAACACATACTAGCTGTGTGACCCTGGGCAAGTCACTTAACCCCAATTGTCCAGCAAAAAGCAAAAAAAAAAAAAGGCAATTGGGGTTAAGTGACTTGCCCAGGGTCACACAGCTAGCAAGTGTCAAGTGTTTGGTCTGAAGCCGGATTGGAACTCAGGTACACCTGGCTTCAGGGCCAGTGCTCTATCCACTGTGCCACCTAGCTGCCCCTTCCCACAGCATCTTTTACCTGTACTTTGCAGACAGTAGGTAAATCATAAATGATGACTAAATGCTGACATTGACAGCTGTGGAAACATCCTGGCACCAAGCACAGTTAAGTTCATAGCACCCACTGTGTGTCTACAACTGTAAGGATACGGCTTAGAGAAGACATGATTCCTGTTATCATGAAGCTCATCGGGGGCCAAAACATAAAGCCACATCTATAATGTCTAATATTATACAACAGATACATTAGAGCCACAAAAAAGAGTATAAAACACAAAATCAAAGAGAAAAAAGTTAGTCATAACAACGGGCAATCAGGAAAGGCTTGTTTTATGGAGGAAATGACATAAGTCATGACATTTGCACAGTCAGATTCTAATCCTAGAGCTCAGAGGCTGAGGAAGCCAAGCAGAGGCAAGAGAGAGAAGCAGGAAAGTTCAAGGGATGTGGCAGGGCAGGGAACACTCCACTCTGATGGAAGCAGCTTACAGTTCAGGGAAGGAAGTGACAGGGCTAAAGCCAGTATGGCATGGCAGTACAGACTCAGGACAACCTGAATTCTTTTATTCAATAGGCAATAAGGAACCACTAAAGACTTTTGAAAAGAGGCAGAACATCAGCATATTAATGCATGAGGAAAATTATCCTGGAGGAAGATACAGATGGATGGGAGATAGAAGACCTGTTAGGAGGCTATTATGACAGTCCAGGTTTTATGGTAATGAAGGAGTACATAAGGATAGTGTCAGTGAATACACACAGAAGACATATGTGAAAGAAGTTACAGTGGTGGAATTGATGGGTTTTAATAAATGATCAAAGGGTGTGAGGGAAGAAAAAAGAGATAATGCCAAGGTGTTAAACTGGAGAGATTAGGTTGAATGGCAGTGCCCCTGAGAGCAATATTAAGATATGGAGTAGATCTGGGGGAGAAACAATAAGCTTGCTTTTGAACATGTAGGGTCTGGAGTATAAACAGAACATCCAGGTGAAGATTTCTTGTAGGCATTAGGAAAGTAGATCATGAACATGAAAAAGATTAAATAGATTATAGAATTAGAAATTACTTGCCCAGAGGTATTGGCTGAAGCCATGGCAGGGCACAAGAATGCCAAGGTAAAGTGTCTAGGGCAAATATTTGGAGGATGCACATATTAATGGGTTGTGAAGAAGGTAAAGAGCCCATAAAGGAGGAGAAGAAGCAAAGGAGAGAAGCATCAATTAAGCATGGTATTTCTGAGGCTACAATGCTAAAGTCTATAAAATTCTTGACAATAAAATGAAGACCTCTCAGGCAAAAGTAGCATCTTTATCACTACTGACTCTCAAAGGCAAGACTTTCCAAAGAAAAAGGAAAATTGAAGAAGGAAGTATGATGGTTAAGAAGTTGGTGCATGACAATGGGATTTAGATTTATGGACCAAGCTGAAAATTTAAATAACCACATGCTTCATACCCTCCTCACCACTCTCCTGGATTATTAAGAAGTCTTGCAATTGATCTCCCTGTCAAGGGACTACCCTCTTTCCAATCTACTCTCCACGCAGATGTGAAATTGATATTCCTGATGCATGGAAGCTAAGCATGTCACTCCCTGCTGGAGAAAGCTTGACACAGCCTGTAGGATAAAAAATACAGTCTTCTATTTGACAATTAAATACCTTCTCAATCTGACTTCAACCTATCTTTTTTTGTTCTAATTTTTCTTTCTTAATGTGAACTTAATCATTGATAAACATCAACAATGCGCAAAAAAGGAGAAAAAAGAGCATTAACTGCACATGAAATGATACTGTGCTTTAAGAAATTACATACATGATGAATACAGAGAAGAATGGGAAGACTTAAATTAACTGATACAAAGTAACGGGTTTTCTGAGCTCTTTTCATCTCCTTGTGACAATTAATATACTTCTGTATGAAATTATTATAATGGTCATCAATGCTATTTCTATTCTTCATTTTCCATTTTTTTATTTTGAATTACTTGTACAAATAATTCAGGGGGAAACTGTTTTAACTGCATGTCATATTATTTTCTGATCATTCTTTTTTTCTTTAATTCAGGTCTTAGCAGTGACAAGTCAATGGCATGACAGTTGTAAACTGAGAGCTGATTTCAGGGAAAACTTTCGCACCAATAAGAAGTCTTTTCCTGTTCATTAAAATATAATCTGTCATTCTTTACAGCGTTACTGGTGTTCAGCATGTCTGGAGACTAAAATCTTTCTTTTTCTTTAAGTAAATGTTCATCATATAGAGGTGTAAGATTTCTATTTAATCCACAAATTTAGGACTTCCATCATTTCTTTTCTTTCTTTAAATATTTTAAAAAATTCTGGACTTGAACTTGTCCCCCAAAAAGGGCATTTCCAAACATATAGCAGAAAACAAAGAGGATTCTATATGAAACAGCGTATCTGCATTTCAAAACATTTTCTTTCGTGAAAATATATAATTCTACTTGTTACTCTGAATACTGTCCTACTTGTCTTGCTTCCTTCTGAACTCGGGTTCTCCTCTGTGCATTAAAAAAATTATTTCAATGGTCCTCTTTTTTTGGGAATCACTATTGCTAACCCTGTCTCCCTCTCAATTCCTTGCCCCAATTAAAAGCCAAAAGAATAAACACAAACAAAAAAAACCCTCTTGCAAAAAATTTACAACAGCAAGAAAAATCAATCCACAGAATGTCCACGTCCAAAAATATAGTGTCTAAGCTTTTTTTTTAAAATCTTGATATTTCAGAAACACAAAGATTCTTAAATTATCTCTCCTAGACTTTTTTCTAGTCAGGTATTTTTGATCTCAAATACTTTACATTTTTTTCTATTTATTTCAATTTTTAAAGTTTTATAACAATATTTCTTGCTGTCTCGCAAAATCACTGACTGCTTTTTAATCTAGTTTAGTTTTCAGGGAGTCCATTCTTAGGTAAGGTTTGCCACTTTCTCTAAGCTATTTAGTCTCCTTTCAAGTCTTTATTTTAGAGATTTTATTTCATTATCTATCTCTTGCTTCAGTTTTTCTAGCAATCCTTTTAGTTTCTTCTTGCAGTTATTATACAGTTAGATTTGTAATTTAAAAAAAATGCTGGCCAGTGTTTTCTTTGGTTTACTCATCTCTCCTCAAATTTATTTCCTGCACTGAGGATTTGTGCCAGCTCTAGGATCTGCACCCTGATATACTTTTGGGTGTGGTGGTTAACCCTAGTTAGTCTAGTTCTGGGTCCCCTGGATTCACTTTCCCCTTGTAGTTAGGATCCCCTGGACCTTTGAGAGTTTCAGACTGCTTTATCTTCAGGGCCATTTCTTGTGTCTCAGGATAGAGAACTAAGGAACTTAGATCCCAAGTCTGGTGTCCTAGACAGAGCACTATGGCACCATGGTTACTGCCCATTGCTGCTCCTCAAGGTTTCCAAAATCTCCATCCTAGGGCTTTCTGACTATCCTTGGACTTTTTCTGAGGAGCTTTCCTTGATGTCTCCAGACACAGTCTCTTGTAGGCTACAAGAATGCCATCTCTGGTCACACTAGCCTTTTACTTTGCTAGATGCGCTCCCTTTCCTATTACCTGTGGACTTCTGGCTGGAACTAACTTTGCTGTATTGGCTCTCTATTCTGTTACTTTTGGTTTTGTGAAAAAAGTTACTTACTCTAAATTTTTCATAAGACTTCTTGATTATTACTTCAGGGTTTTGTTGGAGTAGGTTATTCGCAAGCTGGGCAGTCTGCTTTCCATTTATGCACCCTATCAGTTAAAGGGCATTTAAGGGAAGTCTTCAGAAGAAAGGGCCACTGACTTTTAAGGCCTTCATGGCAGAAAGACAAGCTGTTCTGATATTCCAATTGGTCCTCCTCGGTCCTTTCCTCCTAAGCCATCTCCCAAATCACCTTATGGCATCTTAGACAGAGGGCAAAAAGTGGCCCTCTTGCATTTCTTTCTCCTCAACTATGATTTTCTACATATTTCTTTCTATCCTCACCTTTTCCTACCTTTGCACTGAAGTCATCAAATATCAGAGTGTTATGTTGGTTTACTTTGGAGGATCTTATCAATTTCTTTATAGAATTTCTCTATTTTGTCCTCAGCAACATTCTATAACAAGTCTTTCACAATCCCTATTACTGTTAGTGCTTTCTCTCCATTGACTATCTCCAACTGATCTTGTCTATATCTTACTTGTATATAGTTGCTTACATGTTGTCTCCATTAGACCATAGGTTCCTTGAGCACAAGGACTGTCTTCTGCTTTTCTTTGTCTTCTCAGCCCTCAGCACAGGACCTGGCACATAGCACACACTTAATAAACGCTTATTTACCTCCTGATGTTGGTGTGTAAAGCTGCAATTATATTCATAGTAGTTTTGTTTTTCAAATAGCAATAGTACTGCAATACATGATGACCAAATATCCCACGAAATAATGTATCTTCTAGCCACTCTGCCAGCTCTTTGCTTTGCTTTATTTCCCAAAATGACAGTGAAGCAAAAGTGTATGACTTCTATCCCTCTCTGGGTAAGTGGGCCATCAAAAAACTACTGCATGTAGAAATCAGAGGTGGATCCTAAAGATCTAGAACTAGACTACTGCTTAGAAAGAATGGAACAATAAATGACTGTGAGAGAAAGGCTTTTTTAGAGACTGGAAAGACCTTAGTCAGGTGGAAAGGGAGAGAATGAAGATATATGAAATAGGAATAACTGGCAGAGTATGGAACAGAAAATATGTCAAGGGGAGGAAGAGCATGAGGGGGCAGCAAAAAAGAATGGGTAAAAATGAATGAAATCAAAAGAATACATAAAAATAAGGGGAAAGAACCAGTTATCACAGTAAACTACAGTTTAAACAATATTGTAAAATGCTTTTAAAAACAGTCAACATAATACATGGAAAAGAACAAGTCAGGAATCCAAAACATTCTGCACTGGTAAAGTCTTTATGAAAGTACTATATCCATTAGTACAGTGTACATTTTAAGATGGCAAGAGGAAATTGAAAAAACTTCAAATGAAAGCAAAAAATGATTAAAAGGCCCATAAAAATTTAACTGTGACAAGAAGGTTTAAGGAATTAGAACTACAAAAATTCAAATGTCCTTCTTAAAGGAAAATGAGCTGTAAAACTAACCTCAGTTCCTGGCTTTCTGAAGTGAGAAGAGTAAGGAGATCCCATGCTAACATCTGGTTACCATCTTCACTTTGGAATTTAGTATAGTGCTTAATGTGTTGTAACACAAGCTGGTCAAGACACTCCAGAGCCTTCTCTTGCACAGTGCTTTCAGTGTCCATCACAACTGGGATGATTCCAGTCAGCCAGGCTTTCTGTATCAAGACACTTCTGCGCTGAGCCTTAAAGAAAAGGGGAAGCAAAGGGAATAAGCATCTATTTAGTGCCTGCTCTGTGCCAGGCACTACAATAAGCACTTTGTAAATAGTATCTTATTTGATCCTCGTACCAAATCTGGGAGATGGGTTCTATTATGTTCCCCATTCTATAGTTGAGAAAATTGAGGCAGACAGGGGTTAAGTGACTTGCCCAGGGTCACACAGCTAGTAAGTGTCTGAGGCCAAATTTGAACTCAGGTCTTCCTGACTCCAGGCCCAGCGCTTTACCCACTGCACTACCTACCTGCCTCTAACTGAAATTATTAATTCAGGCCTTCAAATGAAATCAAATGAAATTAGTGAACTTGTGATCAAGAACATAAGGGGTATAAACATAAGTGAAAAAAAAATGTGAAGGCATCTAGTAAAAATACTTAAACATTTATGTTATATAGGAGGCCAAAAGAAAGGGAAATGGACAAAGTTCAGCCACAAGTTATTATAAACCAGCACTTACTGAAATCTTAAATTAAGTATTAAAATTTATCATTATTAGATTATATCAATGTTCATGCTGGTGATGTCAAATCATAAGGGATTGATTCTAGAAGTAAATATTGATCAAGATAAAGCATAAATCAATATCTATTCCAAGGAACAAATAAAATACATGCTGACAGAAAGAAGAAGTCAATATATTTATTGCTTTATGTTTTCTGGCCTGAAATACAGAAAATAAACATGCTTTCGAAGTGCTCCAGCAACTGTGCTTTTAACTAAATTATACATGGTTTAAATGGAGCTGCTCTCATGGCAACACCACGTGCATATTTCAGTTTTATTTAAAAACTGATTCAGACCTCTGGCTCAACCAAATTAGATAAGGAAAAATGTACTGAATTTATATGGGAGCATTTTCAGTTTAGCAAAAATCAAGAGGTTAATTGCCAAGATTATCTAGAATAAGTACTTAGCATTTTCAGGTAGAGTATGGCAAACCAGTTGCAATTAAAGTCTACATCTTCCATTTTCTCTTTATATGGGTAGCTAATTAATAGATTACATAGTTTCTGATAGTCAAATATATAACATGTGCTAAAACAATTTTTTTCCATCTTATGCAATTAATACGAATAAGGACCCATAATACCCATCACCTCACCATAAGGAGGTCAGTAAGAGATTGCAGTGCTTGCTTCCGAACAGAAACTGCAGGGTCCCGACACCGATCCTGCAGGGTTGATAAGTCTTCTTGGGTACATGGGATCTGACTGTGTTTCATAATACTAACCAACACCTGGAAATCATATTTTAAAATTTTTATCTTTTTTATTCTGAATTTTAAACATAAAAAGAGCATTTCTAAAGACAGAGCAGAACCAAGAGATTTCTGTATGGAACTGTCACTCTCCATTTCACAGCATTTTTTTAAAGTATCTAATAAATTCTACACATTACTTTCAAAACTGCCCTGCTTGTCTATGCTCCCTTCTGTACTTCCTCTACAAGTCACATATTCATACAATTATATACATTATATACTTACACATACATATCTCATATGGGATGATTACGATGAATGATAAACATAAGAAGGGCACAAAAGGAAGGATAAGGAAATCAAAGATGTAAAATTTTAAATTTTCTAAAAACAAAAGTCAATAAGAAACCCTGAAAGTCTACACTGCCCTTTTCAATGCTGCAATACTTTTACTACCACTTGAGGTTAAAGATTAACAGGCAAGTTGGGAAAGGTAAGTTAAATAACATATATAACCTTAAGATTTCCCAAAACCCTCTCTTCTACTAGGAAGACTCTAGTGCTAGTTATTTACATAGCAAAGTTTCGAGAAAAGTGTACCTGGAGTGCAGATTTTCTAACATTAGTCTTCTCATCACCAATTCTCTGTCTCAGCATGGTCAGGATATCGTTTCCTATTTAGAAAATATCAAGGAGTCACTATGATACAAAATCAACCAAATCTATAACCTCATCAACATAACATAATAGAAAATCCTAGTCTAAGAGTGTTTGTATTGAGTCTAAGAAATCATCGACTGGAAATGTAGTAGAAAAAGTAAGAGGGGGAAAGATGAGGACCTTTATTGATTACCTGGCATGAGTACAATTAAAAAAACCAAAGGTTACTTTTTGCTTAAACAACACAAGATGGGACTACCTGTACTTTTAATCTAACAAAGTTTTATAACATGAAAGCCTCATTAAATTAATAAAACTTGAAGTCTCCTGGAAAAGGCTATGCAATAGCAAATCTGTAATTTGCAAAAAGGAAGTCTGGAGTTAACAAGAACATTCAAAACAGTTTTGCCTTATTTAACATATTTTGTAAATCCACAAAATCCACAAACGGCAAATTAAGATTTAGAATTTAACTTGAGTAGAACACACTACTGTCAAGCCTATCAAAACCAAATCTATGAAGCCATAAAAACCAGTCTTCCTAAACTGCGAAGAATATTAATTTGAATAACAGTAATCCTTTGAATTTGTAAAGCATACTTCAAAGTATACCCCAATCCTCACAATATCGCCTTAAGACAGATATTACAAGGAACTTTATCCTCATTTTACAAATGAGGACAATAAAGCCAAATTAGGTAAGTGAGGTATGTAAATTCACAGAGTGAGCCCATAAAAGAACTGAGTAGAACCCAAGTCCAGTTTTCTTTATAATGAACCTTGTGGACAATGAAAAGATCCCAGGATATTTTGGGCTCTGTCAAAAACATGTAATAGGAACTGACTACAACCAGTACCTGCACTACACCCAGGGTGAGTAGCATACCCTGCCACAAATTAAAACTTGAAATGACAGTGGTAAGGTGGCATAGTAGGAAGAACTTTGCATTTAGAGTCAGAAGGCCAAAATTTTGTGTCTTGTCTCCATAGCTCACTAAGTCATGCAACTGTGGGTAATTAATTCACTTTACCTCTCTGCATTTGTAACTGAAAAATGCCATGTAAATGTAAACATATGGCCATACGGTGAAAGAGTTAAAATTATAAAGAGTCTCAGAAAAGCCACATAATCTAACCCCTTCATTTTACAGATTAGGAAACTAGGGGCCAGGAAGATGAAGTCAGGTCAACAAGTATTTATTACGTGCCCATTATGTACCAGTCAATCAATCAAACAATAAACATTTATTAAGTACCTGCTAAAAGCCAGGCACTGTGCTAAGTACTGTAGATACAAAGAAAAGCAAAAATCCTCCTTACCCTCACAAAGTTCACAATGTAATATAGGGGAGACAACACGCAAACAACTATGTAAAAACAAGATATATACAGGAAAAACTAGAGAATCTTGGAGGTTAAGTGAGTTGCTAAAGTCATCTAGGTAGTAATCAACAGAGGTGGGATTTGAACCCCAATCCTCTGACTCCAAAGCTAGTGTTCCTAGCTTTTCCATTGCAGTCCTGACAATCATTAACCAACTATAAATAAGGGCAAATTAGCAGTGCAAAGTGAGTACATAAGCAATACAAGTAACTGATTCACCAAATGATTACTGATAATCACTATTAGTAAGTTTAAATTTCAAACTTACTAGTAGAAAAGTATTCTGAATAGTCAATTTTGGTAGATCCTTAAATATACATTTCACAAGGTAATAAGGTTTTGTGTTTTTTTTTTTTTTTTTGGCTAGGCAATGGGGTTAAGTGACTTGCCCAGAGTCACACAGCTAGTTAAGTGTTATGTGTCTGAGGCCGGATTTGAACTCAGGTCCTCCTGAATCCAGAGCCGGTGCTCTGTCCACTGTGCCACCTAGCTGCTCCTATAAGGTTTTAATCATGGAGTCTAGTTAGAACAACCTAACAGAAATAATGATAAGATAATGAAAACAAGGGGATATTTAAAGAGGAAAGTATTCTGGTCTCTTTCCCAACCCTCCCAAATTAATGACAAACAAATCAAACTTTAATGAAAACTGTTCAATGACTAGACCTTTTGAGCTTGCACCTGATTTAGAAATCATGGCACAACTGTTCTTACTGAGAATAAACCATTTCCTAATTTTCACTAAGCATTACTGGTGATTTCTTATCTCAAGACAAAAGAAAACTTACAAAATAAAATATGATTTAACATCATGACCACCAGTATTAACTTTAATAAATCAGAACTACACTTTTAAGAAAAAAGGCTTCACTACTACAATGAGGAATTCAATCATATCAGAACTCTAAAATGGGATTATTGCTTAAGGCTGCCTAAAACCAAATTAAATATTATTTAAACCTCAAGTTTTTTCAGAGTAACATAACTTGACTTACCATCAATTCCAATTCTTTCACCACCACTGTCAGTATCTGTTACATTTATAGTTTTAAAAGTACTAAGTGTCTTTCTTGGACAGTTAGAAGGACCTTAAAAGACAATAAAAACAGAGAAAAAGAATTAAGGTAAAAAGTTATTACACCATTTATTTGATAGCATGAGTGCAGCATGTCACTATTGTAGTTGCTCATTTTTCCACTGACAATAAACCTCAATTTCTTTCATCAAGCAATAATGTACAATATTACATAAATACAAAACTCTAAAGCCAAAAAGCAACAATATACCTACTTCAAATGTGACAATTTATCTAGATAAGAGCCAAATAATAAAAAGCCAATTGTTTCATAGTTTGAAACTAGATTGGTCCATTACCTTCTGTGCTTCCTGGTAAAGTAGTAGGACAACTATCCACCTGTGAGGCAGCATGACTGGAGGCTGAACAAGTGGAAAATTCATTATCATACATCATAATTAAACAGATAGCCATCAAAACCAAGATAATTATTAAGCTAAACCTAAATACAATAGACTAAATGACTATAAATGAATCATGTTCTTCTCTTTTCAATATACATGGACAATAGTCATATCTACTTAACATTTAACAAAACATGGCAATCTCTAGAAACAAAAGCAGCCAACAATCTAAATAAACATTAGGTAACAAAGCCCCTTTAAAAAATATACCTACTTAAAATTCTACAAAATGATTTTCAACTCTAACAGACAGACAAGTCTATTTAAAAACAAGTTAGATAACAGAATCTACTAGAATAGGTATTTAAAAGGGTAGAAAGATATCCTACAGCATCTATTCTTTTTACAAGTCCCCTATAGTAAAACTATCTAAATTCTTGATATTTATTTAAACAAAATAAAAAAAAATTTAACCACACATACTGCAGCCTGCACACTACCTTGTAAAATCTCAAGTATGTTATCTGAGATAACAGTAGTTGACATCTCCAGACAGTGAACAAAACTTGAGAGTGCCTTGCTACGGACAGTAGGTGCCTTGTCTGAGCAACGTCCAAACATCAGTTCTTGTACTAAAAATTTGTGCTTTAAAAACTTCTGCTCCTCTAGGGAGAGGGAACTGTCCAGCTCTCTTTCAGGATATTCCAAGAGAGCTAGGACTACATCGAGAGTAAACACCCTGTGTGAGATCTGTTGAAGCAAAGAACATAAGAATCATCATTAGTTGGGAATTTAAAACGTGAAGGGATCTTTCTCATATGCCATGCAACCTTGCAGTCATCCATTGTTTGCAGTGCCATGTCCAAGGATCTATAAATAAGACATTTCTTCCTACCTTTGCACTGCGAGAATATCTGTAAAGCCAGCGAATGAATGCAGCATACTCTAAACAAGGGAGTTTACTGAGCAACCGTGCCAATGCGTGAGCTGCATAGGTCCGATATTCTGATTTATCCAAAACCTGAAACAGAAGAACAGTGAAATCTTCTGGGATCAATACACTCTTCCCTAATGACAAGTCATTTTCAGGACCGCATAGCTAAGTGAACTGAAACTAGTCAATTTATCAAAAGTTAAAGATCTTCAAATTTATCAATAACAATAATAATAGCTAGCCTGTATATGAAGCTTTAAGGTTTACAAATGCTTTAAAAATATTATTTTATTTGATTCTCACAATAACTGTCTGAGATAGGTGCTATTATTACCTCTACTTTACAGATAAGGAAACTGAGGCAGACAAAGGTTAAGTGATTTGCCCTGGGACACACAGCTAGTAAGTGTCTGAGGCAGGACTTGAACTCAGGTCTTTCTGAGTTTTATCCACTGAGCCACCTCGCTGCCTCTAATTTTTTTTAATAGTTTTCCACTGAAGACATTGACTATGCACATGAACATAAAATTCCAAATATCATACATAAATATGCACCTTACTAAGGCAAACAGTACCTTGGAACAGATATGCTGCAGAAGGATACGAAGAACTGGAAATACAACTTCTTTTAGTTCATCCACTAGTGAACTATTCAAAACATAAAACGACCTTACTGTTAAATCAGAATAAAACAAGTTTTAAGCACAACAGTTTCTCTAGATCTTCTCCTTGAAAACCACTTTCCCTACATAAGGGAAAAAAAAATCAACAAACTTCCCCCACATTTGAAAAGACATTTCAATACAATAAGGAGTTAAAAGACAGCAGTCACAATGGAGTCCGGTGGCATTTAAACTCTGAAGAGATACCATCCAATAGACCATTTTATTTATCTAGGCAGAAAGAAGTAATGAGGAAGCTCTATGCTCCTTTTTACTAGTTACTGGACTAATTTTTTGAAGATCTCAGCTTTCACTGTACAGCCACTCCCCCTCCTGATACCAACACCCTAACTCTTAAGGGAACTGCTTGGGGCATTCCAAGGTTAAGTGACTTGCTCAGGAGATCACAGCCAGTATGTGGCAGAAGCAAAGCTGTCAAGTCTTTCTGACCCTGAAGCCATTCTCTACCCACTATACTACTTTCATGTGAAATACAGTAAACCAGATGCAATCAAAAGCTAATTTGTGTTTGTACAGGTTCAAAATATATTACATTAAAGTCATGGTAATAACTCTCACCACCAATTCCAGTAGGATAAGAGTAACCCAAAGGATCACTATGTGGTAATTCATTAAAACACTGACAGTTTAATAGATAAAGTAATATTACTTCTTTGAAGTTTGGTGTGTATTTGGTGAGTTATATACAAAGTTACAGTGCACAAATTTGACCTTCCTTTAACACAAGCCTACTTGTAGCATCATTTATACATCACTGTACTTTCGCTCTGATCAAGATTAACATACAATACTCTGGTCAGTTTCCCTCTTAGCTAAATATCAGACTAATTAACAATTAGCTAATCAACTACCTTTAAGCAAAATAATTACAAAATCCCTTAAAATCACTGTTCAGTCAGTTATTTCAGTTGTGTTCAACTCTTCATGACCCCATTTGAGGCTTTCTTGGCAAAGATACCGAGCGGTTTGACATTTCCTTCTCCAATTAAAATTGCTAGCAAGATATTTAATCAACTCTAAAACATATTCTTCAAAGGTATTCTTTAACCCATAGATCATCTACATGCTACACAATGTAATAGAGATGTCAAATTCACCAGGGTGCTAATTTAAATCTGATTAAACTGTAATTGGGAAATGATTACCAAAATAAATAATACAATATAGATAATGTTAATTCATGATTTTCTATTTGCGTTTGCCATCACTGATGTAATTAACCACTTTTATGTCCAAATGGTCAGAAGGGATCACTCTTCTAAAATGAGATCTCATTTAAAGAAAATACATACACAATACATACACATGTGCATATATACGTGCACAAAGACACGTGTGTGTGTGTGTGTGTGTGTGCGTGCACACGTGCATGTATGCACTGAAAAATGATACTAATTATAAGCTATACTCAGTTTTATTGTAAGGCTAATTTGTGAAGGAAAAAAAGAATAATCTATATTCAGATCAATTTCACATTCTAGGAATATACACATACTAGCCCATCATTTTTTCTCCCATTTCTCTTACCTCCACCTACTGCAACAATTCAAAAACGTGAATGAAGAAATCTATCAGGAGCAGCTAGGTGGCACAGTGAATAGGCAGGGAGTCAGGAGGATCTGAGTTCAAATCCCACCTTTGACACTTACTAGCTGTGTGAACCTGGGCAAGTCACTTAACCCAGACTGCATCCAAAAAAAAAAAATCTAAAAGTAATGACATATCTAATTTTAAAATATTAATTTAAATCAAGCAACAGAAGGTTACATATACGTAAAAAACAACTTTTACATTTTTCTAAGAAAAACCCAATTTATTTCAATTTTATATTAGGATCAGATTGGACACTGAAAGGGAAAAAGAGGAATGGAGTTGAGAAAGGACCAATCCAAAAGGGGAAGGGAAGACAAAGATAAGGACAAAGGAAAGACAAGGGAGAGAAACAGGCAGAAATGGGAGGAAAGAGAAAACTAGACCTACATAGAGGTAAAAACATGGCAGGTAGAAAGTAAGTTCTGAGGAAACTTAGTCTTTTGTCACATTCTATAATTCATTTGACTTCAGAATAAGTTATCATTAGTTAGTGCTGCTCTTTGAAAATTGATTAGATGATCAACCAGTGTTCACAGATATTCAACGACTTGAAGTCCTAAAACCTGGGAAGCTTAATTCTAAATACAAAAGCCCCAACAATTCAATAGGAAGCCAGTTATTCTTTAGACTGTGGCAATGGTACCAGAGCAATTTTACATTACTAGGCTACATAGAAACAAAGGTCCCATCTATACAAGAATATTGATAACAGCACTCTAAACTTGAAACAAATGAGGAACAGCTGAAAAAAAAATCTAAGTATAAAAGAACATTCCCATGTAGTAGGAAATAATATAAATGCTTCAGAGAAATTTGGGAAGATTTGTATGAATTGATGAAGAACAAAATAAGCAAAACCAAAAGAACAACATAAACCACATTTACAGCAATGGAAGTGTAAATATCACTAAAGGGAAGCTGAATGTTAAGTAATAGAAAAAAACAATGAAGGTCTTCAAGAACAAATATAGAAGTATATCTCCTCCCTCAGGCAGAGAAATGAAAAACTACTAGCACAGGATACTGCATACCTTGTTAGATAAAGTTCCATATTGGATGTTTTTGATTAAATGTTTTTCTTTATCACAAGGAAGGGTTTAACTAGGGAGGAGGAGTTACGTGGAATGCAAAGATAAAATACATTGACTAAACTTATAGAAAATGGCTAGATAAACTCAAGCTGAAAGGGACTGATCTGCCCTATCACCTGGAAGGCCCCCACTCCTACACCAAACTATTCCAATTCATGGTCAGAGAAAGGACACGAACCTTGTGAACTGTGCTCTTTCTGAAATATCTTATTTTGATCTCCCTAGACACAATTAGAACAGAAAATTTAGCCTTGTGGATTTTATGTACCTTTGTCCCACCAATACCACTGCTAAGAAAATATCCTGAGACAGGGAAAGCTCGCACATATACAAAAACATTTAGTTCAGCCTTTTCGTAGTAATAAAGACCTAGAAGTGGGCACCCAGTGATTGCAGAATAGCTGAAGAAATTATAGTACATGAAAGGGACGAAATATTAATATATTGTAAAGAAATGAGAAATGTGAAGAATTCAGACAAATCTATAAGGAAGATATAGAATAAAATAAGTGAACCAGGAAAACAATGTACAGAATAATACAATAGTATAATGGAAATAACTAAAGAAATACTTCATAACTATAATAAATAAAGTGACCATTCATGAATCCAGAAGGCATATTACAAAGGATGCTTTCCCCATTCAGCAGAGGGATAGTGGATTCAAAGTGTAGAATGGGGCAGACACATTCTCAGACATGGCCAGTTTATTTTTTTCTTTAATGCCTTGATTATGAAAAACTATAAAATATGAATATAAAAGAATATTCTTATGTAGTAATAAATAATAAATATGAGTGCTTTAGAACACTCAAGCAACAGTCCTATGGGAAGGAGGAAGGGGAGGTACAGTAAATCACTAAAAAGTGAGAACAATGTAAAAAAAAAATCAATGCATTTAAAAAAAACATCAAAATGTAGTAACAGAAATCAGTCATAGAGCCCAGAGACCTAAGACAGGGCAGTCCAAAGGAAAAAGAGCCAGAGTGTTTGTGCTTCACCTGATAAACTGGATTGCATGATTTCTACTAGTGACAGTTTGTGAGGTGATATTAAGGGGTGCACGGTGAGATCCTTCTCCTGCTTCGAACATGAGTATCACATTTAGCAATCGATGGAAGAGGCAAGTGATGACCTAAAAAACACAGTAAGTAGTGTTCAAAATTCAAATACGTTAACAAAGTTGCCTATTATACTATATCCAAAAGCAGTAGAAATAAATTGTTTTTTTTTCCTACTTAACATAAGAAACATTATTTCTTTGATCATCTTCAGGACCTAGACAAGGGCAAAAATGTGACTAGTAAAGTGTAAAAGAATTGCTTATAGCTAATTAGTAATGGTATTTTTCTTCCCACCCACATATACAGGACAGAATCTGACAGACACAAGGAAGAATAAAGACAAACATTTATAAATGGCAGAGAATTGAGAGGCGATGTAGCATAGTACACTGAAAACAGAATTTGGGAGTAAGGAAACATGGGATTAAATCCCATTTCATACACTTACAATCTATGTGACCACGGGCAAGTCACTTAACCATTCAGAGTATTTGTTTCCTCATCTGAGACATGGGGATAACAGCTGCCCTATTTATCCCACAGATTTATTATTTTAAAAAAAGTGCTTCGCAAATACAAACTCAGTATCTAAGTGAATTATTGTTATTAGAATGCTGTCAATACCCTTAGGTACAAAATGCAAAATACTAAATGTTGGACCTAAAAAAATATACTTTCATATCTATGCTTTTAAAGGATGTCTTGAAGGGAAAAGGGATTCAAGGTACAATATTGTAAATAATTAGGAAATCAAGTATTTATTGAATGCCAACATGGGGCCGTGCCCTGTGCTAAGCACTAGGAACACCAATACAAAGATTTAAACAATCTCTACTCACAAAGAGCTTACATTCTAATGGGAGATGTGACAAGTACATATGAAAATATATATAGCATAGCACAAATATAAATACAAATACAAATATATAAAAACTAATTAAATATAATGTAGTTTGGAAGAGAAGGCACTTGTAACTGGGGAAATCAGGAAAAGCTTCACACAGAAGCCTTGAGATGCATTTTAAAAAGAAAGGGATTCTGATATAGAGGTAAAGGGGAACTTTCAAGTCATATGACGTGGCAAGTACAAAGGTACAGGGACAGAAGATGGAGTGAGGAACAAAGAATTTGGATGGATCACAAAGTATAGAAGGGAGAATACCGTCCAACGAAATTGGAAAGATGGTCTGGGGCAAGGTTTTTTTTCAGGCTTCCAAAGCTAAAAAGAAGAGTTTATATTTGATCCTAAAAGCAACAAGAAGCACTGGAGCTGGCTAAGTAGGGGAGTAACCTGGTCAAATATGTCCTTAAGGAAAATTATTTTGGTAGTATTGTGTAGGATGGAATGAAGTGGGGACAGATTTGAAGGAGAGAAACCAATTAGGAACTTGTGGCAATAATCTAGGGGAAAGGACCTGAAATAAGGTGGCAGCCATATGACTGGAGAAGGGGTCAGATGCAAGAGATGGTGTAAAATTGCAATGGCAAGATTTGTCAACAATTATGTATATGTGATGAAGGAGAGTAAGGCATTCAGAATAATGCTGAAATTATGAATCTGGGAGACCGGAAGTGTAGTGGTGTCTCCAAAATAAATTGGTAAATATGAATGAGGGGAGGATTTTGGAGGAAAGATGAGCACAGATCAGGACATGTGGAGTTTAAGGTGTTTTTGAGACATCCCATTTAAAATGTCCAATAGGTAAATGAAGATGGAGACTGGAAGCTCAAAGGAAACACTGGGGCTAGGAGTTATCTGTATAGAGATGGGAGTCAAACCCACAGAAGCTAATGAGGTCACCAAGACAGAAAGTACAGAAGGAGAAGAAAAGAGGGCCCAGGAAGAATCTTGGGGAATGCTCATATTCAGGGCACATGAGATGGTTGAAGAGTCAGCCAAAAAGATTGAGAAAGTAGTCAAACTAGTAGTATATGAATCAGGAAAGAGCAGTATCAGGCAAAGCCAAAAGAGGATGGTAAAAAGCATCAAATACACAACATACATACATTAGGTATACTGATACTAGATGCCAACCAGAATAACATTTTAAAGCGTATGTTATGTATCTTGTTTTCTTATAATGTCTCAATAGTCAGGGCACCACTAATGCTTATAACATTTTCTTGGCAAAAATAAGACAGGACACAATCACACCAGATATTTCCCAAAAGGTATTATTTGGGGACCACCCTAAATAACTGGCATTTGTACATACCAGGTTTATTAACAGTTCCACAGAAAAGAAAATAAGACAGCTTGATGATTACTTCCGTTACTGTTCAACTGTAAGCGTACAAGTAATTGTCATGGAAACCTTGGGAACTGTGTGACTACCTATTCTTTCCTTTATAATAATATGTCAACAAATATTTTTATAAGAGCATGTCTTTGTTGTCTGGGAGCTCATCTGCCCCCCTGTGTAATCTGAAATACAGGTCTGCATCTAAAACTGAACAATAAGTTGCTGCAGCTACCAAATGATATGCCATCCAACTGGCACTAAACAAAAGATCATGAAGGACCTTTCAAAATTGTAATATACAAACTATATATTATGTTAAAAGATCTCTAAATTAAATAATGCTTTTGAAAATTCAATTCATGTAATATTTATCAAGCACCTACTGTGTAACATGAAGTATAATGGACACAGAAGATACCAAGACAAAAAACAAAAACAACAACCAAAAAAACCCAGTTTTTTCCCTCAAGGAGGGAAAACAATTCTATTAAGGGAAAACAATATGTCTGTGGAAAATTAAACACAAAGTAGGCTCCAAGTAATTTCTAAGGAAAAAGCTTAAGTTTAATATGAAGGACTGTTTTTTAGCAACAGAATAGGGATTGCAAAGAGCACAATAGAAGGACAGGTTAGAGCAGGATAAGCCTGACATGGATAAACATAAGAAGATGGTCTGAGGAGCTTCTTTATTTAAATTAAACAGTTAATAAATTAGATCCTGATTTCCTTTACCTTATCCCCTTCCCCGTGAATGGAGGAACACAGCAAATGCAGTCCATGATAGGCCAATTCTGGTATGTATTTTGCTTTGTCAATGTTTCTAGATAAAAAAAAGAAGCAGCATTAGCTAGCAGATATGATTATATAATTAACATAAAGACTCACCTCTTACTTCCACAAACCATGTTTAAACTAATTAATAGTAAATGCTAATCAGAATATAGACAAAAAAAATTACCATCTAGTACCATTTTAAAGTGCAGACATTTAAAAGCTCACCTGGCTTCTAAAGTCTGAAATCCATGAAGAACTGGTTCAAAACTGGTTAATCCAACTAAGATCTAAAAAACAGACACCAAGAAAAGACTTAATCTCTGACTGTTTACCTTGGCCAACTTGCTAAAAAGCCCGATTAGTGAAGGATGATATACTTATGCCTCTTGGCCCCTTCAGTTACCTGTATACAATTTTGCACACACTGTGGCTTTTCTTTCAGGGGGAACTTGGGCAAAAGTCTTAAAAAATTCTTCATAAGAAGGAAGATGGCATCCCGAATTTGACAAATGTCACGTACAGAAAAACTTATATCATCCTCATCATCCTCTTCTTCTAAGATTTCATCCATCTAGAATAAGAAACAAAAGGGGCATCACTTTTTACCTAAGGTTAACTACTTTATCCCAATGGACTAACAAGAAAATCCAGTAAAGAAAGGACAGTAGTTGAGGCACTTCATTATTAAGAGTTCCTATGCTTTTAGAAATTTTTAAAAATAATTTTTATTTTTTGTTAACTGTATTTGACAAACTCTATCTGTCATAATCATCTCCACATGCAAAGAAGAGAAAGAAGATAGTACGTGAAATCATAAATCTATTACACCCTGATTTTTCTGTGTTAGTTTTATAGGTGACCTGCCTATCTGCGTCTCCCTCTGTGCCTCCTTATATAGTCTCTTTCTTTTGAGTGGTGGTTTTGTTCTGTTTTCTAATGCTTTGATGATCCTCCTGCACTCTTGGATGGTATTCTGGGGACCTCTCTGGTCCTGACCTATATAGCACCTGGGATTCTGCCATTGGTTTTAAGTTTCACTGGGGTCTGTGCTCAGAGTACTACCAAGTTTCAGGCCTGTTTAGATCTTCCAGAGAGTACTGCTTTCTTCAAAACCCTCGGGGACTGTTCAGATCATTGTTGCACACTTTCAGAACCATTATAGACTGATTTCTAGATTCAAAGTCTGAGCTTTGCAAGTGACTATCCTCATGTGACAGGTCAGAGGGTCTGATGGTGTTCAAGGATTCTGCACCCTCCCTGTTGGAACATTAAGGTCTTCTTGCCCTTTGTACACAATGCTGCATGTTCCAGAAGTACTGAGAATATTTCTGGTATACTTTGGAAGAATTACAAGCAATGTGGTGGCTGCAGCTTTTGTGACTGGACCCCTTCCTTAATGCCTAATAACCTGGGCTGAATAAAGATACTTACTGGTGTAACTCTTTGGATTTCCTGATTATCATTCAGTCTGGAGCTCTTTTTTTTATCTCAGCTGTAGTAACTGTGATAGAGCTGAGCTGTTCTGTTCCTGTTCAATCTGTCTTAACCAGAAGTTAGTTATTTGGCAATCTGATGTCATTTAAGGTCTACATTAATTCATTCAGTCAATCAACACGCATTTATTAAGTACCTGCTATTTGCCAGGTTTAGGCAAGAGGTGAGAAGGCCTGGAACCAAGCTGATGTGAGTGGAAAGAAGGGCTCAAATGTGAGAGATTGCTTAGGTAGAAATGGCAAAATTAGATATGTGGAATGAAGGTGCTGGGGACACAAATGCAAAGCATAAAAATATACATTCTACCTGTGTTTTCACTACCCACCAAAAAGGTACCTGAAACAAGTGGTCCATATGATCAGTGAGCCTAGTATTAAGGTTGTGAGGTGTATTTAAGTTTGTTTGTTTGTTTTTAGGCAATTGGGGTTAAGTGACTTCCCAGGGTCACCCAGCTAGGAAGTGTCAAATGTTTGGTCTGAGGCTGGATTTGAACTCAGGTCCTCCTAACTGCAGGGCCAATGTGCTATCTACTGAGCCACCTAGCCGCCCCCAGGTGTACTTAAGTTTTAATAAAAACTGATTTACCTAATCTGATTTAACTGACCCCATTTCTTTCAAACATTCACTGTCATGTGCTAATATGTATGGTTGATTACATGATTCCTATTTTATACTTCTAAATAGAAACTATCTTTTTTTTCAATCCTAATTTACTAACAATGAATTCCAGGAAAACTAAATAGCAAAAATTAACGATGAATAAAAATAATATAAGTCTTCACGTATTACTTCACTTCAAACAAAAGGAAGGAAGTGGTGGTAGCTTACCTAAGTCAATCAACAGAAAACCTAGGGACCCAGTATCAGAAGGGTATGGAGAGACTAACTGGATTTCTGAACTTCAGTTTCACAATAAACCAACTGTCTACTGAACATTTCAAACTAGATGTCCCATATATTTAACATATTCAAAACTGAACTCATTATCTTTCTCCAAAAATCTACCCCTCTTCCAAATTTCCCTATACTTCCACAATCCTTCCAGTCTTTCAGGTTCATAATCTTAGCATTATCCTCCATTCCTCATTCTCCTTCATTCCACATATCTAATTTTGCCATTTCTACCTAAGCAATCTCTCACATTTGAGCCCTTCTTTCCACTCACATCAGCTTGGCTCCAGGCCTTATCACCTCTTGCCTAAACTACTGCAATGGTCTTCTAATTGGTCTCCCTATCTCATCTTTCCCTATTCCAATTCAATATATACGCTACTGCCAAAGTGATTTTCCTTAAGCATAGGTCTGACCATGTCACTTCACTATTCATATTCCACTATTCACTGTAGCTACTATGGCTATCTATATTTCTTCTATGATCAAATATAAACTTGTCATTTTGGCTTTTAAAAGCCTCTACAACCTGGTCCCAATCTATCTCTGGTGCCTCATTACTCATTACTCCCCTTCCTACGCCTTACAGCGCAGCTAAACCAGCTTTCTCTCTGAACCCCAACTCCTGTCTTTGTGCCTTTCCACTGGTGATCCCCTATCACCAGAATGCATTTCTTCTTTGTCTACACCTCACAGAATCCATCATTTCCTTCAAGACTCAGATCCAGCACCACCTTCTACCTGAAGCATTTCCTGATCTCCCCGCCTGGTTCCTAAACTACCTTCTATTAAAGTACCTTGCATGTAGTCTTTATATATTTATATAGGTACATGCCATTTCCAAAGAGAATGCAAGAATACTTGCGAATACGGATTCATCATATCTGTAACCCCGGAACCTAGCACAGTGCTCAACAAAGGCTTAATAAAAACTTGTTGATTGTTAGTCTGGTGACTCAATGATGAGAATGGATGTCTGGAAGGAAGGGACAATAGCAGGGTTCCCCTAGCCCATCTAAATATCCCCACATTGCATTAATCATAACCCTCGTGGCTATGTCAATAAAAATCATCTTTTATATCATCACTGATACATAAATCAGCAGCTTCTATATAAAAGTAATAATAACAAACATGTACTATGTTTTGTTCAGTTGGCTTTTTTGGATTTTTTAAAAATTTACTATTTTTACTATTCAATTTGACAAGCATTTATTAAGCATTTGCTTGAGAAACATTGTGCTAGATAGTGGGAATGGATATAAAGACAAAAAATAGTCACTATCCTTAAGAAGCTCACATTCTCTTGGGCAGGGATGTAAGGGGGTGGGGTAGGGAGAGGGAAGGTAGAGATACAATATGTACATAGCTAAGTACAAACAAGATAAGTGTAGCCTTATTAGCTGACCTGAAATTTTAAGATTTTATAAGATGATGTGGAAAATGATCATGGAGCTCTAAGCTTAAAAAAAAAATCTCAAAATCCTACAATTACTAGTATCTTTTAAATTTTCTTCTTCTTACCTCACCGTCCTCTTTTCTGGGTGGTTTTCCTCTCTTTCTATTTCCTCTTGAATCAGCTTGAGAACTCTTGGGATGTTCTTTTTTTCTTTTCCTACTCAAGTTAGATTCTTGAGGCCAGCTCTTTTTTAGAATCTGAAGACATTTGTCAAACATCACTGGATGGAACACTTGATTAGCTATGCTACCTGTTCATAAAGAGTAAAGCAGGTAAAGATTTAATTAATCTTGACATATGTCCAATTACATTACAAATGAATAAAAAAATCCATAAAGTAAAATTTCAATTGTTTTAAATAACTAAGAAAACTGTACATAGTAGAGAGAGAGTTGGCTTTAGAGCCAAGAAGACCTGATTTCAAGTTGTGCCTATGACCCATAGTACTTGAGTGAATTTGAGAACAGCACTCAAACTCTCAAAGAGTGTACTGTCAACTCTCTTAACACCATAACTCACAGTGAAAATGCTGACTTACAGTGATAATGGAATTATCCTCATCTGGAATACACTGATTACTTATTAATGAAATCCCAGGTTCAGTTCCTATCCCTATTCTTTGAATAATTTGAATAAATTGAGAAAGAAATCAGAGACCAAGGAAGAAAGCATTCACTTTTGGTTTGCAGTTCACATATAACATGCAAATTTTCCTTGCACAGAATCTTGTCATAAATATCAAACAACAAAAAGAATAATGCTAGAGCTAAATGTATTTCCTTTCCATCCCCGAGAGTCTATACTCAAGTTCTATATTAATTTATCATCTTACCTCTAGAGAATTTTGGTACTTTTTCTTCCAAGAACATGAAAATGTTCTCTCCAAAGTTACCAATGATCTCTTAGTAGACAAATCTAATGGCCTTTTTTTCATTTCTCATTCTCCTTGACCTCTCTGTAGCCTTTGCAATCAAACATGTCCTCTTCTCTCCTCTGGCACTGCCATCACTGTAGTGCAGGCCCTCATCAACACACACCTGGATTATATTGTAATAGCCTGCTTGTGGGTCTGCCTGCCTTAATTCTATCCCCACTCCAGTCTATCCTCCATAAAGCCACCAAAGTGATTTTCTTGGCATAGGCTTTAACCATTTCACCTTCTACTGAATAAGCTCCAGTGGCTGCCTATTACCTTTAGGATCAAATGCAAAATTCACTGATTTGAATTCAAAGCCCTCCATAACCTAGCCCCCTCCGACTTTTCCAGTTTTCTTACATCTCACTCCCAGCCAAATACTCTTTGATCTAATGACACTGCCTCCTGGTTGTTCCATGAACAATACACTCCAAGCCTACTGGCCTCCTTTAAGTCAGGGAATCTCATCTACAGGAAGCCTTTCCCATGCCCTCTTAATTCAAATGCCTCCTTTCTCTTTATTATTTCCTATTTGTCCTGTATTTTCCTTATTTGTACCTACTTGTTTGCTTGGTATCTCTCCCAGTACATCCTAAGCTCTTCTAAAGCAAGAACCATCTTCTACCTTTTTGAATCTCTAGTACTTAGCAGTGTCTGACACACAGTAGGTGATTAACAAATGTTTACTGACTGTCAGTTAATAAACTGATTTTCTCTCAACCCCTCATGACTTCTACTCCAACACTACACTGAAACCTCTCTAAAGTCATAACTTACAAACTTATCTACATACCCAAGAACCACTTTTTTTTCAAGTCCTGGTCTATCTCTGATTCTGCTAAGTCATTTGGAACTGTTGACTATACCGTCCTACAGATTACTCTCTCTCTCCTTCCTTGAATTCAGAGCTTTTTTTTTCTTTTAGTCATTTTCATTCATGTCTGACTCTCTCTGACCTCTTTTGGGGTTTTCTTAGCAAAGATGCTGAAGTGGTTTGCCATTTCCTCCTCCAGCTCATTTTACAGATGAAGAAACTGAAGCAAATAGGGTTAAGTGACTTGCCCAGGGTCACATAACTAGTAAGTGTCTGAGGCCAGATTTGAACTCAGAAAGATGAGTCTTCTCAACTCCAGGCCTAGTGCTCTACCAACAGTACCAACTAGCTGCCCTAATTCAGAACTACCATACTTTTAAAAACTGATTATCTTTGTACCTTTCTAACTATTTCTTGTCTAGCCCCTAATCTTTTTTTTTTTTTACAACCAGTTGATGTGGTGATTCCCCAAATGACTGTCCTTGACTTTCTTCTCTCCCTTGGCAATCTCAATCACTCTCATAGCTTCAACAACAGATTCTATACAGATATTTCCAGCCCTGACCTCTCAATGGGCTCCAGACATACCCCAAATGCCTACAGGACATCTTCACCTGCATATTTCACGGGTAGCTCAAATTCTACATAACTGAAATCAGGTTTATTATCTTTCTCTCTAAATATGCTATTCCCTTTGACTTCAATGTTTCTATCCATGGTACTACACATACTATTACACAGTCTTTCATATAAAAAGCCTTGGTATTATCTTTGATTTTTTCTTCTCCTTTATCTCTTATATCCAGTTACTATGAGATATGATTCATTTGAACCTCTATTCTAGTACAATCAGTATTATCAGTTTGATATGATTCCATAGGGGTAGTGATTATAAGTTCTGTATATTAGGCCCCAGAGCTGTGAATTGCAGATTGGAAGTTCACTTGCTTAATCACAGGAAGCTAACTAGAGGCACTGCACTTTTGTTTTACCTTGTTATGTGACCAAGCTAAGTGTGGCGGATATTACTCAATTACATGGAAAGTCTCTCAACTGATTTCTGTACCTCTGAATCACTTTCTCTTGTCCAATATGAGCTTGTGACTATCTTATGACCACTTAATCAGTGGCGATGCCCCATGCTCTGCCCAACCCAAGACCCTGCTATTGACATATCATTTCTAGCTGATACATCACGTTTTGACCTTTGAAGCAAGGTCTATCAACCAATGGGATTCTGTATTTTGTGTGGTCCCTCTACAGTGTTCAAGTATCAAATCTGGTATCAAGCTTTATAAAAATAAGGCCCTGGAAGAAGGGGGCATCTCAGATCATGAGGAAGATTTGAGGTAAACTTTATTTGAGGGGACCATGGACCCTTTAATAAAGTGCCCTTGGCTTGGAGCTCTGCTTCAGTATCTTTTATTGTAGGCTGGACAACTTAAAATCCCACATTATCAAATCCTGTAAAGTTCATCATCTCACATATATCCTCTTTATTTGCATCGCCTCTATCTTAGTATGAGGCCTTGTCACCATAAACATGGACAACTGCAACAGTATCTTCTTTTCTTCTTTCATCTCTACTCTTTCCATTTTGCCAATCAATCTGTTGTACTATTTTGGGGGGGGGTGGGGGTGGAAGATGGAGCCAAGGTGGTGGAAAGGAGCCTGAATGTTGCCTGAACTCTCCCCAGTTTCCCTCGGAAACAATTTTCTAGCCCAACAAAACTTAGAAGGACTTCAGGAAAGGTCTGTCTCACATGGGTAAAAGAAGAGCACAGCCCAGTGCAGGCAGTGTCTGGGCAAGCCAACAGGAGACTCTTAGCCACAGCACAGATCAGCAACTGAGGCCCCAAAGTTCTGGCTCAGCAGGCCAGTTGTAAGGCCTCCAGCCCCAGTGGGCAAACTACCAGCCCCAGAACCCAGGGCACAACAGGCATGACTAGGCCAGGCCACTCTAACACAGTGAGCAAGCTACCAGCCCCAGAGGCCCCAGCACTGAAAGTCAGTGACTAGGCCTTTGGGCCCAGTTCAAGAAGCTTGGGACAGTGCCTCCTGTATCTCAGGAGCAGAGCTCAACTTTTAAAATGAGCAAAAAACCAAAAAAGGAGCCCTGACCATAGAAAGCTATTATGGTGACAGTGAAGCTGAAAACACAAACTCAGAAGAGGACAACGATGTCAAAATGCCTACATGCAAAGCCTCAAAGAAGACTATGAATTGGTCTCAAGCCCAAAAAGTCCTCTTGGAAGAGCTTAAAAAGGATTTTAAAAATCAAGTAAGAGAGTAGAAGAAAAATTGGGAAAAGAAATGAGAGTTATGCAAGAGAATTATGAAAAAAGAGTCAACAGCTTGGAAAAGGAAGCACAAAAACTGACTGAAGAAAGCAACTTCAAAAATAGAATTGGCCATATGGAAAAGGAGGTACAAAAGCTAACAATTCCTTAAAAATTAGAATTGGGCAAGTGGAAGCTAATGACTCTATGAGAAATCAAGAATCAGTTACACAAAATCAAAAGAATGAAAAAATAGAAGAAAATGTAAAATACATCATTGGAAGATCTGTTATACTGCTCCCAGAATAACCTGATCAGTCATGTCTAACCTACACCCAAAATTCTTCATATTTTACTGGCTACTGAGGAAAATTCAAACTCCCTTGCTTGATATTCAAGACCTTTCACAATGTTGTATTATCTGCTTTCTAATAGTCTCTCACTATTACTCCCTTCTCATATACTAAGCTTTAGCCAAAGTGGATTCCATCTCTGCCTACCAAGCACCTCCTGAGAATTCCTGTATCCTATGCCTTGTTGTCAGACTGAAATGACCACCCTTCCACTATGACTTTGCCTGCTGAATTCCCACCTTTAAATCTAATCTCTAACCTTTAAATCATAACTCAAAAAGACTTCACTGATCCCCCTGAAGCTTCACATGTTTACATTTAATGTTTACAAAATGCTGACAATAATCCTGAATTAGGCAACACATGTAATTTTTTCCATTTCTTAGTGATAAGGAAACTGAGGTCCATATAAATAAAGTGACTTGCTTATAGTCACAAAACTAGTAAAGGTCAGAAGAATGATTTCAACCCAAGTTTCCTGACTATAAATTTAGTTCTCTTCACCATACCACACTGCCTTTACTCTCCCACTTTCTTTTGTAACTCCCTAATCCCTATATAATTATTTGCATTTTCATCTTATCTCCCCACTAAACTCTAAGCTTTTCAGGGCCATGAGCTTTCTCTTTTGAATTTTATCTCCTCCAACACCTAACACAGTGCTACATTCATGAAAATTTCTTGAGTAATTGCTGAATAAGTGATCTCTTTTGTTTTCCCATTTAAAGAGATACAGATCCAGAGTTCTTTATTTTTGCCGAGTATAATGGTGTACACCTGTAGTCCCAGCTACCAGGGTGGCTTGAGGTTAGCAGATCTCTTGAGCTCAGAAGTTCTGAACTTCAGTGAAGCAAATCACTTTATCCTCACTAAACTGAGCATCAGTATGGCAGCGAGGTGACGTGGTTGATAGGGCATTGGGCCTGAAGTCAGGAAGACTCTTTTTTCTGAGTTCAAATCTGGCCTCAGACACTTACTGGCTGCATGACCCTGGGCAAGTCACTTAATCCTATTTGTCTCAGTTTCCTCATCTTTAAAATGGTGGTGGTTGTCCCTTGTCCTCAAAAAGGACCAAAATTACATCACTATGTTGGGGTCCAACTATGGCTGATCAGATCAACCACAAGCTTGGAAGGCTCTGCCACAGGATGGGCACAAAAAGTCTACATGAATATTTGGAGTGGAGATGTCTCTAAATCTGTGCAAATAACATTTCTTTTGAGATACTGCAATTCTGCTTTGCCCACAGAACACAGCACCTTCTTTGATGTGGGCATGCTACGCTTGGCTGTCCTGTGCCAAAGTTGCCCATGTCACAAAATCAATTCCAAAGTTCTCCAGAACCTTATATGTAAAATGAGCTGGAGAAGGAAATGGCAAACCACTCCAATATCTTTGCCATGAAAACCCCAAATGGGGTCAGGCAAGAGTCATATGTGATTGAAACAACAGAAAAACAACACCACCACAATAAGTTCCCAGGAGCAGGGGACACCAGGTTGGCTAAGGAGGGGTGAAGCAGCCCAGGATGGAAACAGAACCTGTCAAAACTCCCATTTCAGTTAGTAGTAGGATTAGGTCAAGTGAGCAGCACCTGCACTTCCAGCCTGGATGAAAGGAAGAGAAAGAAGGGAAGAAAAGGAAGAAAGGAGGAAAGGAAGGAAGGAGGCAGAGAGGGGAAGGAAGGTAATTATTTTCAAATGAGGAATTAAGAAAACAAGGAACACTTGGGTTGTAAGAAAAAACAATGCAGAAAAACAAAGTGGTAGTAGATATGATTGACTGCGTCACATTCACTTACCTGGGATTTCAAGCAATAAAAAATAAAGCCCAGCAGCATGCAGACCATATTCTCGATTTTGCACGGTGGCATTTTTCTTATGGACTATCTCAACAAAGTGATAGAAAAGGGCCACAAGTGCATTGTGAGAAATATTGTTCTCCTTAAAGATGGTCCAAATACTCTTAAAAAAGAAAAAAAGAAAAGTCAAAAGAGTTGGAGAAAATTTTTAAATGTCACATGAACTGTGATGTCTTTTGGGAAATTTGCTACTTTACTGAGGTGGGGACTGGTCAGTCTTGTCCCTCTTTTATTCTCAGCAAGTTACCAGCAGATGACTGAAACTACTATTTTTATATAGTCTATTTCCCATCCTCATTCCTGACTCAGAAAATGCTAACCATTTCAATACACCAACTGAAGAGTGGGGTAAAAAACCCCACAAAGTAATCATTTCTACTATTTTGTCCTCCAGCTGGCCAGGAAGTTATCAAGGTGAACCTCTTGAATGAAATCCAAGAGATCAGAAGAATTTTACCCGGACTTTTTTGCTCCCTTACAGAAGTAAGGGAGATAGCAGTTAATTGAGTTGGCACAAAGTTTTTTGGTGTTGATTTTACTTAAGAGCTTTATTTCTGAAAAGCTATATATGAATAAAATATTGCAAAGGTATTTAATCTTCATTTCTGATTGATCTGTAATTTGCAATGGTTCATAACACTAAGTTTCTCTGTCCTGTTTCTTTTATCCCACCTACTCCCTTAAGTAATCAATGATATCTAAAAACAGTACTTAGGAGCACTTGAGTAACTTGATAATTTTTAAGTGTTTGTGTAAATCAGTCAGTAATGAAAATAATCAGTCATCTGTTTAGGGAGCTGGATTTTCCTAAAATGGAGGAAGCAAAAATGTTTTGCCATTTGGATTTGGATTTTTTCAAAAGAGATACATGCAAGGTTAGAAATAATCTCCAGGGAGTCTTAACTTGAGGTCTGTGAATGTATTTTTAAAATATTTTGACAACCATATTTGAATATAATTGGTTTCCTTTGCAATCCTGTGTATTTTATCTTATTCATTTAAATGGTTAAGAACCCCTGATCTAGTTTAATTTCTTCATTTTATAGTTGAGAAAACAATTCAAGAGAGGTTAAATTACCTGCCCCAATTCAGATGAGATTATCATATATATATTTTTGGTCTTATGCTTTTTTCACATTCTTTATTTTACTGTTGTAGTCTGACAAATTGTTATTGCTTTAAGTTCTTTGAAGAGTTGAGCAATGTGCAAAAAAGCACAGGGAAATATGTAAAGTCTGCATAAGACCCAATGGCTTATGAAGTTTAAATGTCTTTCATATAATTCTTACAGCACTATTCATGTTACATGAGTTACATTTTTAATGTAACAACCTTTTTATTTCAAAGCTAAAAATGATCAGCATTTTTTTTACCTCTGTGGTTCCACGTTCTTGAGCAGCAAAAGGAAAAAGATTCTCATAGAGTTCAGTGAATGCATATAGTCCATCCTCTGTGATCTGCACTTCAATGTTGGGATCCAAAGGTTCAGTCTCCATGAAATCCAGTTCCCAGACTGTGTCCACCCATACTGGTGGTAAAATATTGTAAATGAAATTAATAAATCCTCAGCAGGAAAAAAATGAACATTTTCTAGTCTTTAACATTCTCTGATCATGTTCAATAAAAGATTTTTTAAAAAGCATTAGTCATGTTCTTTGCTTACCTTTATGGCATGGGTTTACCATCACCACTCCCATATAAAGGAAACACATTATGTGAAAATACTCATTGAAATAAAAAACTAAGGAAATAATTATTTTAATGTCAACTGCAGCTATTGTTGAGAGAAAGTTATCTTCTCTCTTCTATCTGGACAGGGCCAACCAGAATTCTAGATCATATTATGCTATATTCAAAAGCACAAATAGAAAGCTACTTTCAAGACAAACAGATGAATCTGGTAGAGTAATAAGGGCCATAAAAGGTACCTCTGGTGTTACTTGGTAGAAGTCAGGTTAATGCGATAGATGCAAAGGATATAATGTAGCGCTAGGAACTGCAAGCACTCAATACTGAGCAAGCACTAACTAATCAATAGAGTTCTTACTAAGAATAACCACAGTTCACATTTATGGAACAAGATTTGACAAACATTATATCATTTGATTCTCACAATCCTGGGAGGTAGGTGGAAATATTATCCACCTATTACAAATGAAGAAATTTAAGTGTAAGAGAAGTAAAATAGTTTGCCCATAGACACAAAGCTGCTGAGTAAAAGAGCTGGTATTAAAATCCAGTGCAATTCCTATCTATTGGCTCCTTCCATGATGCCTACAACAAGCCCAAGTCTCTTCCATCCTTCAAAAAGCTCTCACCAGATCCTATGATCACCTCGAGAAATTACTCCATATCTCTATTCCTTTTTTCAGTCAAATGCCTAGAAATGACCAACACATGTTGCCCAGACTTCCTCTCCTCTAATTCAATCTCAACAATCCCTCCCCCCAAATCTAGCTTCCAACCTCATCACTCCACTAAAACAGCTCTCTCCAAAGCAAATAATGATCTCATAACTGCCAAATCTAATGGCCTTTTCTTAAGTTTCATCCTTCTTGGCCTCTCCACAGCATTTGACACTGTCTACCCCTCTCTCCTCTTAGACACTCCCTAGAGTTTTTCTAACACTGCTTTTTCTTGATTCTCTTACTATCTGTCACACCACTTCTCAATCTTCATTGCCAGATCATCATCCCCATTACACTCCCTAACCTGGGGTGAACACCCCAGCTTGGTCCAGGACCTCTTCTTTCTCTACATTTACTCTCTTGGTGACATAATCAGCTTCTGCAGGTTTATTATCGCATGGCTGATGACACAGCCAATAGTGGATGTTCCATAGGCATTTGAAACTCAACATGCCCAAATAAGAACTCATCAACTTAGTCCCTAAATCCACCCTTCTTCTAAATTTCCTTAATTCTATAGAAGAAACCAACATCCTTCTAGGCATCAAGGTTCTCAGCCTTGGCATTATCCTTCTCTCCTTCACCCCACACACACATTCAACCACCAAATCATCCCACTTTTACCTCCACAACACGTCTAGAATCTAAAAGACAAAGCTCTCCCTATGCCTCATTTTCTCCTCTTTTAGAAATATTAAGAAAGCATTTTCCTCAGTATCCTAGTCTGAAGCCTTAGAATTAATTTGAATGAGAAATCCTATCAATCTTTAACTATTCAATTTAAACATTCAATTCAAAAAAATCTTTTAACATCTTTCTTATCAAAGCTATAACCATTTTCTAACCCACCCAAGGCTCTACTCCCCAAAACAGCACAAGAAGGACTCCTCCCTAAAGGGATTAAAGTGATAATCAGTTAATGGAAGTGTTTCCTAAACTCACCTTTGACCAGGTAGAAAGGATTCTTAAAGGGAATGAATGGTCAAAGAGAGACTGAATGATTTTAGAAAAATGATTTTCTATAGTCTGCTGAAAGTGAAGTGATTCTTGTTCTGCTGGATGAAGCAAACCATTAACTGAGTTGTTTGTTGTTACCTAAACTTTGAACCTTCAGTCAATCTTGACTACAGAATTTTGTCTATTGTTTAAGAATGTTATAAACCCTAATTCCAAAATGGCTTGGGTTACAGAGATATTCTAAGTCATGGTATAACTGCTGGTCTTTGGTACCTCTTCTGTCTAAACAGAAACGTTTAGAATTTGTTTAATTTAAATTAGTAAAAATTATTTCTGACAAGTTTGTGCCTAAAACACAGAGTACAGAACTGTTTCCCATACTTCACTCCACTCACAAGTATCACCGCAGTTCAGGCCCTCAAGACCTCTTGCCTGGACTACTTCATTAGCCACCAAATTGGTCTCCCTGCCTACAGTCTCTCCCCACTCTAAATGATCCTCCATACAGATGCCAATCTAAAGCACAAATCCGCCATATCCAGGAGCTCCCTACCTCTAGGATTAAATATAAACTCCTCTGTTTGTCTTTTAAAGGCCTTCACAACCTGGCCCCAACCTACCTTCCTGGACTTCTTACACACCTTACCCTTTCACACCCACAGTAGTCTAGTGAAACTGGCATTCTTAACTATTCCTCAAACATGAGACTATATATACCTTTTCTGAATTCACTCCTTTTCTTCACTTCTGCTTCTTACTCAATGAATAAGCATTGATTAAGTACCTGTTACTGATTAAACACATATTCTGGGAATACAAAAATTAAAAAGTCGCTGCTTTCAAGGAGCTGACATTCTATCAAGGACACCATACACATGAAGTACATAAAAATATATACAAAATAAATACAAGGTAATAGAAGGAAGTACACTGGCAACTAAGTTTTGATGGGATACTAAGAGGCAGAGGTGTGCTGATTAATGTTTAACAATCTGCAGCCCCAAAAAATTGGGTTCACGCTACACTTTCAAATTTGATCTGATTATTAACATTTTCTCCTTCACTTTAAGTCTACACAATTAAAAAAACAAACATGTTAAGTCCTGACTTGTATTTTGCTCACTTCCAAGGTATAAATGTTTACACCAAAAATTTAACAATCAAAGCCAGTTCAAACTAGCTCAAGCGCATCTCTGACATCAAAATATAAGGATCAGCCAAAACAAAGCCTACAGACCAGAAATTGAGTGTCCCCCACCCCTCCACTCTTGGTGAGGAAGAGCTACAATATAAGGCCAGTCTAACCTTCAGCATGCAAAAGAAAAGGAAGGGGGAAAGCATTTATATAGCAACTACTATGTGCTAGGTAGATAGTGGGCTATATGCTTTTACAAATATTATCTCACTTGATCCTCACAACAATGCAGTGCTATTATTATTCCATTTTTTACAGTTGAGGATACTCAAGCAGAGGCTAAATGAGTTGCCTAGTGTCAGACACAGTAAATTTCTCAGGTCCCATGTGAACTCAGGACTTCCTGACTCCAGGCCCAGTGCTCAATCCAGTCACCTCTAACAGTGGTTCCACCAGCCACCTCTAATAACAGGGTTGGAAAAATAGGTTGGGACCAGGTTGTAAAGGGCTTAAAAAGCTAAACAAAGGATTTCACTGAATCCCTAGTTTGCTTCAATGTGCCACTTTCTACGTTAAATACTGTCACCTACCCCCAAAATGCTGGCTACTGCCTTCCTCCAAAATTATCTTTTATCTGTTCTGTGTATATTTTGTATATATGTATATATATATGGTGCTAGGCACTATTAGGAAAGGGATGGTAGGAGAGAAAAATACATAAGTCATTGACCTTGCAGAGTTTCCAGTCTAACCTAAGGAAGTAACATGCATATACAAAGTGTCCCACAATTCTTGGTGGAGCTTTAAGCTATGGCTGCATTAGTGTATTATCTACTCAGGCTAGACCGAAACTCTCCAAGGGCAAGGACTATTTCATTCTTGTATTTTTCTCTCCTACCATCCCTATTTCCCCAGTGATTGGCATGAGAAGGGCTTAATAAATATTTGCAGAATGATCTCCATGCCACCACACTGCCTCTCTTGAATTAAGAAAAACAAGAGACATGTAATCCCTACGCATCTATAAAACACAATTAGGTAAAGAGGTAAGGTTCACTAGAAATATTAAGCATCAATTTTTAAGAAAGGTAAATATGATAATAATATGCATAGTGGAGGGGAGAGTTTAGATGCCGGGAGACCAGTGTGGTTACCTTGTTTACCAAACCATAAAAGCAACTTCCTAACTCTTCTTCAATTGTTCAGTCTCTGCATATAGTTACTATGTTACTTTTTATAAAACGCTGCTATCACTATCCTGCTCAAGAACTTACTAAGCTAAAAATCAACATAGTATAGTGAAAAGAATACAATATTACTCCTGCCAATAACACTAATTAGCTGCACATACTTGGACAAGTCACTTTTCTGACACTCTTACACCTTTTACATTTGGTAACCTTTTAAAACTCAGTTGCCTCATCTATAAAATGCCAATAGTAATACCCTGTTACCTACTTTACAATGCTGTGCTAAAAGAGTTTCAGAGGGAGCAATACACAGTTCTAAAAATACTATGATTGTTTTTCCTGTATTGTTTTCCCAATTAGATTGCAAAATCTTTTAAGATACCAATGTAAATATCAAAACATCACTTAAAGTTCTAGGAGAAAAAGGAACTAACAAAACTAACCAATTGCATGGAGGAAAGTATTTGTTAAACAAAAAGAAGATATTATTGTAAACAAAACATACGGATTTTATTTTACAAAAATAGCAATCTATTCACCAAAAATCAATATAACTAAAATAAAAAGGAGATTGGGAAAAATATTTTCAAAGTAGATATTTAGTAAAAGTCTCACTTTAAATTTAAGTAACTGACATTTATAAGAGCAGTATCTCTTTTCCAGTGCATAAACTGCCAAAAGATATGAACTGAATTTTTGAAAGGTGAAACAAGTTCACTAATTGCCTCATTCACACATATATCAAGTACCTACTGTGTATAGAACACCGCTAGGGGTTGGAGAAATTTGAGGAGTACACACATGAAAAATTTATATGTATCATAAGAATTACAAAGTATATAAAGTTTGGAGAAGACTCAGTCCGGACCTTATACCCTTGGCGAGTAGGAATTAACAATGGGATAAATAATTTGCAGATGTATAACCAAAACATACAATATTGTTACATGATAAGTTCTTGGAGAGGTCTAAAACAAAGGGCTTCACCATGAGCATAAGAGTTAAGCTTTAAAAGATGTTAAGAATATAAAGGAGCTAGGTGGCTCAGTGGATAGAGCACTGGGCCTGAAGTCAGGAGGAACTGAGTTCAAATACAGCCTCAGACCAAATACTTGACACTTACTTACTAGCTGTGTGACCCTGGGCAAGTCACTTAACCCCAATTGCCTAAATAACTAACTAAATAAATAAAAGAATATAAAGGATAAAAGCAAATGATAAATAATCACTTCAAAAATTGTCTAAACTACTTAATAATCAAAGAAACAACAATAAAAACAACTTTGCAGTACTACTTTATGCCAAGCAAATTGTCAAAAAAAAATTCAGTGTTGCTGGGAAAAATATATTACATGGTTGGCAGAACTGGAAGGTGATGCAATTTTTTTTAGACAACACACTAGCAAAAGACAGTAAAAATTATAAACTGATCATAACCTTTGACTCAATGATCCCACAATTGGAACTATATCCTAAGTATGCTATTACTCAAATCTCAGATGGATTTATGACCTCACTGTTCAAAAATTCTCACCAATGATGCAGATAGAAACCCATCCCTGTTTTTCCATCCCTCTTTTCTAACTCTCATTCATATCTTCTCAAAAATTCATCACCAAATGCTATTAAAGGGGGGAGGGGCAAAATTTGCAAAAATATTCACATTTGCCTTATTTCTAATAGTTAAAATCTTGGAAACAACCAAACTATGCATGTCCACAAACTGGCAAATGGGCAGAACACACTCTGGTATAACAATGTAACTATCACTATCTTCAAAACATGTCACACATGAGGAATACAAGGGAATATGTAAGAATGCATATAAATTTTATATAAATATATAAAGCAATGACAGTAAGGAGCCAAATATAAAAATATATACAATTAACTTTGAATATATATATATGGAGAGAGAAAGAGAGAGAAATATAATACAAATCTTTAGAAGGACCAAGAAAAGAGATCAAGAAAAAGATTAGTGGCAACAGAACATAATGGATAAAAGTGCTAAACCTGGAGTCAGAGTTTAAACTTAACTACTAACATTACGCTATGTAACCCATGGACAAGCCAATTATCTTCTCAACCTCAATTTCTTCATCTGTAAAATGGACTACCACCTGTAGTACCCTACTTCACAGGATTACTGTTAAGTCTCAAATGAGATAACTTATATAAAGCCCTTTATAAATCTTAAAGCACTACCTAAATATCAGTTATTGCTAACATTTATGTTTTCTTTTTTATGTAAACAATTCAGATTATATAACTGTATGGCGAATACTACACAGAGATACTGTATTAAATCAGCAGCAGATGCAAAGATGCTTGGAGAAGTTCAAAGCGTTCTACAATTATGAGGTTCTTCAGTTGTTCAAGCCTTCTGACATTTCCTCAGGGTAGGATATTCCCTTCACAAACATAAGTCAACTACCTTTCTATGCCTTAAGTGACAGTAGAGAACACTGACATTTCTGCTATACACATGAAACCCAATGGAAGTTGTAATTAAATAAATGGAAGGCAGCTCACAAATTCTACTTGGATTCAAAGGCAACAGATACATTTACTCGCACTGACCATTTGCAAAAGAGCCACCATCAAGGTAACTGCATTTTACGTGCCTACATTCACTGTAGAGAATGGGGATATGAGGAAATCTTACAAAGTACTCAATGTCTTCCACCTTAAGTCAACATCTGCCCTTATACTTGGTAACTTCAATGCAAAAGTAGGCATAAAGGAATGAAGAATACATTGGGAAATAAGGTTCAGTAATAAGAAAGTCAAACTACACATAACCCTCCTCACAACTTATATATATCACATATACCCTCTCCAAGAAGAGCCAGAAAGCTCATACGACCTGGTTGGCACTAAATAATATCATTCCCACCCCCATACCACCCCCTCCAAATTAAAGCAACTAACATTAAGACAGGGATGACAGTTACCAGCATGAGATCCATTTTATTTATTTACTTATAATTTTTTTTTTTGGCTAGGGTTAAGTGACTTGCCCAGGGTCACATAACTAGTAAATGTCAAGTGTCTGAGGCCGAATTTGAACTCAGGTCCTCCTGACTCCAGGGCCGGTGCTCCATCTACTGTGCCACCCAGCTGCTCCCTGGGATTCATTTTAAAAGAGCATAAGGGCACAAATTTGGAACTGGAAGGTACCAGAGAGGTCATCTAATCCAAATCCTCATTTTAAGGATGAGAAAATTGAGGCCAAGAGATGTTAAGTGACATGCTCAAGATCACACAGATAGTGACACTGGCCTCCTAATAGTTCCAAGAACAAGACACTCCTTTGTTGCAGCTCTATATATCACTAGCTGCTTCTAATAACAAGGTTGGGAACCAGGTGGATCTCTAGTTTGTTTCAATGTGCCACTTTCTAAGTTAAACATTGCCACCTGTCCCCAAAGTGCTAGCTGGTACCTTCTCCCCAAATTATCTTTTATCTGTTCTGTAAATATTTTGTATACATGTATATACAATGCTAGGCACTGAGAAGAAAAGAATAGCAGGAGAGAAAAATAAAGTTTTTGACTCTGTAGTTTCCAGTCTAGCCTTAGGAGACAACATGCATATACAGGGTATCCCAAAATCTGAGGCAATTAGAGTTTAGCGATTTGCCCTGGGTCACATAGCTAATCTCTAAGTACAGACATGAACTCAGGAAGATGAGTCTTCTTGATTGCAGGCCAGCCCCTCTATTCGCTGGGCCCCCTAGCTGCCTATAATATTAAGTGCTTACTATATATCAAGCTCTGCATTAAGATCATACTCTAATGAGGGAGACAAGCAAACAAAAATGTACAAATAAGCTATATACAGGATAAATATGAAATAATTAAAACTGAGAAGGGCACTAGAGTTAAATGGAGTTGGAAATATGTGATTTTAGCTGGGGCTTAAAGGAATCCAGTGGGGGACAGCAAGTCTCTTTAGCTATTTGCCTCAGTTACCTCACCCTTGAATGAGCTGGATAAGAAAACAGCAAACCACTCCAGTATCTTTGCCAAGAAAACCACAAATGGGTTCAGGAAGAGCTGGACACCACTTAACAACAAATATTTATTGATTGACTGACTAGTAATTAGCAGATAGAATCCAACCTTAGGTCTCCTAATTCCAAATCCAGGGCTTCTTTCCCTATACCACCAGCCTCTTCCTAAGTAGAACTGAATTATTAATGACATTAAGATTCTAAAACCTGGTACTGATCAGTTATGCTGGTTTTCTCCTCTTCTTGCTATTTCTTTAAAAATACTACTTGTGTGTTTTGCACAACTTCACATGTATAATCTATACCAAATTCTTGCCTGGGGGGGGAGAGGAGGGAGAGAATTTGGAACTCAATTTTTTTTTTTAGTGAGGCAATAGGGATTAAGTGACTTGCCCAAGGCTACACAGCTAGTACATGGCAAGTGTTCTGTCTGAGGCATTTGAACTCAGGTCCTCCTGACTTCAGGGCCGGTGCTCTATCTACATTGCGCCACCTAGCTGCCCCGGTACTCAAAATTTAAAAAAAAAGGTTGTTAAAAAATTTTACATGTAATTGGGAAACATTTAATGAAATAAATAAAATACATTCTAAATAAATAAATATACTATCTGTCATAGGAGATAGCTTTCAGGGAGAAGGAAAGGATCCTGGGCAAAGTTATGGTGATGTAAAAGAACGAAAAACATCAATAAAAACTTTTTTAAAAAAAGGCGACAGACCCACAACATAGCATATATTCTCAGTTGAGATTCACAATCATTCAAAAGGGTTCAGTCTAACGAGCAAGACAGGAAAAAAACTGAGTGAACGAGAAGTCAACTACTGTCCGGACAGTAAAATGGGCATAAATAAAAAGGCTGCAAATCATTGGTTCAAACCAGTCATTTCATTAATATCCAAGACAGATGCACTTCAGCGACTGCCTGAAACACTAAAAAGTTAAATGATTTACCCAGTCACACAGCTAATTATGTGTCAGAGGCAGAATTTTAACTCTGGTCTAACTCCAAGCTCGGCCTTCAAGTTATCATACTATGATGCCTCTTTGCAACAACATATAAGACACACAGCGAGCAAGAAACAGCATGAAGATGTCAAAGAAATGCATGAATGACCAAGTATACAGGCTGGTCCAAGAGAGACGGAACCCGAGTCCTGCAGTAGAACCTCGATATAAGCAAAGATTTTCAGGACAGCGTGGACAGTGAAGACGTGAACGGATAGCGATCGTTACCCGTGGAGGGAATGCCCACACAGGGGGATCCACAGAAGCTTCCCATTTCCCACCTCCCTCTCAAGGACCAGACAGGGGATGAGGGCGGGGCTTGTCTGCCAATGGCTGGGTTCCATTCGTTTCTCAGTCCGCCTCCCCGGCCCCTCTAGGGCCCACCGTCTCTCTCTCTGTTTCCTCACCTAGACTGAGGCCGGGCGGGCACCAGCGCCCGAAGCAGCTCTCGAGATTCGGTCGCAGCGCCATAAGCCTGAAGATCAGCAGTCTTCTGGTCTACTTTCAAAACCTACTCCGCGCGCGCTCCGTCCCTTTGACGTCGACCAATCACTGCTCAAGGGCCTTTTTCCGCCAGCCAACCACAATCCCCGAGCCTCTTCTCCATTAGCCAACCCGCAACAGTCCCTGTCGCCAGTGTACAGAATGGCGGCAGCCGGAAGGCGACTCCGTAAGGAAGTAATTGGTAAAGTAAAAGGTCAACAGATGATTTCCTTTCTAACCAGAATTTTCTCCTCCTTCACTTGAGGGTGAAAAAAGTTTCCAGGATATCTGAAGTAAAGACAAATGGGAAATGATCATCACCTTTGTCCCTTTGGGCTACGCATGCGCCAGGGGCCTCCCTAGTCAGAGCGTATGGAGGCGTTAGCGGGATGTGCACACTCTTCGCGGGGAGGGAATTAAAATGGAAGGTGAAATTCAGCACCCTGCAAGGGAGCTACCGTACCGCTGCGCTGGCAATCCTAATGGAACTGGAATAAGGCCCTCCAAGTTCCCTGAAAACGGAGCCCCGACCTCGTTCCGCTACGTTTGCGCAGTGAGCCCAGGGAGGGCAAGAGGAGGGCGGAGGGAGGGGCGGCGCGCATGCGCCTGGAGTCACGCGCGTATCCGGGGCTAGAGACTGGTTCTCCTTGCCCAGCACCCCCGCCCCCTTCTGCCGCGTCGCCAGCAAAGCCAAGCTGTGCGTGCCCGGGGCGGAGGCTGGAGGCCGGCACCTTGGGGGGCTTTGCAGGGAGTGAACCCAGCGCGCCGGGCCCCCTCAGCTCCGTGCTGCTCCGGGGGCCGCGGCGGGGACGTTCGCCTGTGCTTGGGGCGTTGCATTCCCACGTCCGCCTCGCCTCGCCCGGGCAGCCCCGCCGCGGGTGCGCCGTCACCAGTCCCCTGCCCGGGCCAGGCCAGGCCGGCCGGCGGGGAGATGAGCTTCTTCGGCTTCGGGCAGAGCGCTGAGGTGGAGATCTTGCTGAGCGATGCCGAGAGCAGGAAGCGAGCGGAGCACAAGACAGAGGATGGCAAGAAGGAGAAGTATTTCCTCTTCTACGATGGTGAGACCGTCTCTGGGAAGGTGAGCCTCGCGCTCAAGAACCCCAACAAGCGGCTGGAGCACCAGGGCATCAAGATCGAGTTCATTGGGCAGATCGGTGAGTGTGCCCGGCCGTGGCCGCCACCGCCTGTGGGGGCCAGGAGCGGCGAAGTTCACCCGCTGATACCGAAGCGTTGCCCCACCCCCGGCCCCCGGGACGGCGGGTGGGGGGCTGCCCTGGGGGACCGGAGCGGGGGACGCCTGGAAATGGACGGGAGGGGTGGAGGGGCCCTGCCCCAGCCAGACGCTCACAGCCCCCGATGGTCGTTGTCCCTGCATGAAATGACACCGCACTGTGAGGGGGCGGATGGTGGGTTGGGATGGTTTGGGGGTGGAGGAAAGTGGGGAGGGGTTGACTCCAATAACAACGATAACAGCACCTGATATATGTAGTGAAGGAGAAGGAATTTTCACATGCATTATCTCATTTAATCCTAGCCGCCACCCCGTGAAGAGCAGAGCAGGTGGTCCCCCATTTTACAGATGAGGAAACTGAGGCCCAGTGAAGTTAAGTGAATTGTCCAAGGTTACCGTAGTTAATACATGCAGAGCTGGGAATCCAGGCGTAGATCTTCAGACCTCCAAAGCTCAAAAGTTCTTTCTGTCTTAACCAGGCCTCTTGTCTGGCCATGGGGGCGGCAGATGATGGATGGTTGGAGGGAGGTGGGGAAAGAACACGGGAAAAGGTGGGGAGGAGGTTTAGTGGGTTTGTATACCTTGTACCTGGAAAATCTCTGGTCCTGTCTCCAGGCTGTAATCAAGTTCTTTTCATGGTCTTGATTTAATATACTGTGACCATTGTCAGAGCTTTGGGCTACCTGGAAAATCTCAGTCCTTTTTCCAAGCTGCAGCCAAGCTCTTTTCCTGGTCTTGATTTAACATACTCTGACCTTGTCAGTAGCTCTGGGCTCTTGATTCCCAGTGTAACCCCTGTTCTGTCTTTGGTCTCTCCTTGTATTCTGCATCTACACTATTGAGCCCAGTGGAAAGGCAGCACCACTGTCTGTCCCTCAGTGAGTGGCACAGGGCCTTTATCATTAGACTGGGAAAAAAGCTGCTTATTAATTTCCCTTCCTAATTAGCCTTAGTTTTGAGCTGCTTGTTGATAGAAAAGATTTTCAGTAGGTAGAAGGGTGTGTATCTTTTTTTTTTCCAAGCTTCAGATTGACATGTATGCATTTTTTAGAAGAGATTATAATATTTGTGTGAAAGGACTCATTTAATGACAATGAAATGGTATTTTTAAAGCCATAGTTATATATCACAATTTCACAGCAGTATGTCAACTCTCATCAAACAATAACAGTGACAATAACCATAGTTATATTGAAGTAGCTTTGGAACATGCCAGTCAAGACCGAATTGTCTCAGATTCTGAATCTCATTATTCTCTTTGCTTACCCAACCCTGAAATAAACTCTTTATTATTAGGTCAAGGACTGGATTCATAGGAATTACCATGTGGTCTAGAGAAGACCTTTGGAGAATCCACAACATACATACTTTTTATCTAGGCCTAGCTCAGAGTATAATTGATGAATATCGTTATCATCATATGAGGTCAGCAAGGTTTTATCACCATTTTTGCAGATGAAGAGAAAACTGAAGCACAAGTGGAAAAGTCTCTACTGTGTTTCTGTCGGCAGCAGAGGCAAAACAGGAAGCCAGATATCTAACCTACCTAGTCTAGTGCTCAGTCTAAAGGATATTGCCTCTCTGTGGAAAAAGAAAGTTAAACCAGACTGGAACCAGACTGACCCTATAGGAGTGTTTTTGGATGTTGCTATTTTAAATCATTTATGGAAACTCATTGTGCCTTGAAAGGAGCCTGAAGAATGAGGTCCATATTTTTTGACTTAGAAAAAACACTCTAGTAAATAAATTAATGTAGGCATTTAACTAGTTGATTTTTTTTAGATACCTTCTAAGATTTCACTGGTATTTTAAGATACAGCATATGTGTCGCACTAAAATTTTTGGGATACCCAGTATATATATATATACACACATATAAAAAACAAGGTTCCCCCTCTAACTGGAATTGATGTTTTAATAGAATGCATGAATCCCTGGGGGTACCTTTCAGAGTTTAATGACAAATTTTGGGTGTATTTTGGCTGTCTTTTCACCATGGGGACCCACCTGAGTCATCACCAACCACCTGGTAAAGAGAAGAGAAGATTTCCAACTTTAGAAACTCTGGCAACCCCTTTTCTAGAAGCTTATCTTGTGAAAAAGGCCAGAGATTCTGTGATTGTGCCTGATTTACAAGGAAAAGATAGAAGAAGAGGCTATATATTGTACTTTCATGGTCTGGGATCTCAGTTTTGATTCGAAAGACATCATTGTAGCTATATTACAGAATTCAGGAGTTAGAAGCAGTTTTCCAAGGTTTCTGATCCATGTCTAAATGGGAATCCCTATCTATAGCACTCCGTATAGTTAATCAACCTTCACTTAAAGCTTAAAGGAAACTTACTATCTCCTGAAGTAGCCCATTCTAATTCTGGGTAGCTCTATTTTTTTTAACTCAACAATTATAAATACCAATTACATATCTTAATAGCTAACATTTACATTGAGCTTTAAGATGTGCAGAGCAATTTATGTATTTGATTTGATTCCCCACAACAACCTTATGTGGTAGGTGCTATTTTTATCCTGATTTTACAGATGATGTATAAGCTATCAGGTTAGATGTTGTAGGAGGCATACAAAGATGAAAGCACAGTCTTCACAATCTGTCTCCAACCTACCTTTCCACCCTTGTTCCCCTTTATGCAATGCATATTCTAGCCAAACTGAATTAGTCACCATTCCTTAACCATGTGCACAGCATTGTTAGCAAGTTTTTGTACCATCAAGCTGAAATTTGCTTCTCTGCAGCTTCCATTTATTTCTAATTTGCCCTCATGGGGCCAAGCTGAACATTTTAATCCCACTTCATTGTGACAGCCATTTGGATACTTGAGGTTAATTTTCAGGTCCCCACTAAGTGTTTTCCCAGTCTCCTGGAGAATTCTCAGTTACTTCCACTGATCTTGACTGCCGTTTTCTGCATATTCCAGCTCATTCCCCAAAATGCAGCACTCAGAATTTAACAAAGTGGCCTAGACACAATCTGACCCTGGTAGTAACCTCCCACATTCTGGACACTGCCTCACTTAATGACATTTATGATTGCATTAGCTTTTTTTGTCTGCCGGAGAACACTGATGATTCACTTAGCTTTCTGTCTACTAAAACCTTCAGCTCTTTTTAAACCAGCATGGATCCCTTTTCTTATTCTTGTGCAGTTAATTTTTTTTAATCAAGTGTACAGCTTTGAATTTGTATTAGTTGGGCTTAGCCCATTGTCCTAGCCTTTCAAGATCTTTTTGGATCCTGATTTCTGCCTGTCATTGTTAGCTGTCACTCCCTGCTTTGTGTCATTTGAACAACTGATAAGCATTTCATCTCTGCTTTCATATATAAGGCAGGATTTTTAAAATATGTCAAGTGTAGATCCTAGAACAATGCTTAGAAACAAGCATTCCTGTAGACCTCCCTCCCAAGTCTTCATTCATCCATTAGTGACTATTTAGGCCTGACTGTTCAACTAGTTTTAGTTCCACCTAACTATACAAAAGTAGCCCATGCATTCTCTCTTGACACAAAAATATTTTTAGACATTAGCAAATGCTTTGACAAAATCTAGGTATGCTGTGTCTTATAACGTTCTCCTGACCTGACAGTTAAAGGAATGAGGTCAGTCTTACATTGCCTGTTCTTAATGAGTCTTAATGATCAGGTGTACCATTTCTAAATATCCACAAACTGTCTTTAATAATGCATTCTAAAATTTTGTTAAATTTTGCATTCTAAAATTCTATCTCAGAAACTTCCACTCTCTACACTGATAATTCTTCTTGTTAAACACTTCTCGGTTGTTTGAGTATTCTGGACTGAGTTAACTGAGGCCTTGTATAAAGCAGAATGTGCTAGCCCTCAATTTTGTCTACTGTAAAACAAGGATAGTAGTCCCCAGTCAAAATTACTTGTGATAAGAAAAGGGAGGAGTCATGGAAGCAGTACAGACTAATATGTGGTCTAAAATCATTTTTGTGATTTGGTTTTGAATTGTAT